TCAATCCCTTGTGTAATCGTTTACTTGATATGAAAAATATGGGTAAAGTTATTTAGCCAAATCAACAAATCAATATCAAACACGAAAGACAAAGAAATATTTTATTTCATATTCATTTCTAAACAGACATAAAATGGAGAGGTTTCGTTAACAAGTGTGTAAAGGTTTCAATGCATTATCATAATCTAATAAAATATATATTTTGTTCAATTCATTTGATTCCTCTTATATCATAACCATTGTAACAATCAAACATTTCAACTTTTCAATTACTGTAATTCTTCAGAACAGGAAAATATGGTATCATATTTATGAAATAAATTATAATATTCAGGCAAATAAAACAACTGAAAAAAAACCTACACATTCATTTTGATCTGATTTCCTTATGTCATGAATTTTCCTGTGTAACAAATAGTAATACATTAAGCATGCAGAAACACCCAAAGTGTTTTGACATATGTATAATATAAAACCCGAGGCCGATACTAATAGTCAATATTCATATCCAGAATTTCTCCAATTTTACCTTGCTTAGCATAAGCATACTCCCTCAACCTTATGTTTTGCTGTACATGTGCTCTATACAAGGCTACTTTCACCCCAAGTTATTTTCATTTCACCCTCTGAATATAGTATAACAAATTCACCCTCCATGTTTATGAGTGAAAAGGGCTGTAATTAACTAGGGTGAAAACTTCCAAGTATACAGTACTATGAATAGCAACACTGACAGACCTGCCACACCCACCATCCTGTATCATATATATATATGATGGTAGAGTTTCCAGCTCATGGCCTTTTGGTATCTTGAGTTAAATGATTCCCTTGATACCTTCAAAACTGTCAATTATGAGTCAGTGTAGGCTGTGATAAATTACTTAACAAGTTTACTAACACACTCCAGGTTTAAGATCCAATAATAGTAACCAATTATGAAAATAATTGAAAATAATTAGGATATTCATAACTTGGAAAAACTGTTGAGAAAATTTATAGGCGAATTAAAATAACTGAAAATTGACTGCAGAGAAGAACTATTAGTTTCGGTTTTATTTTCAACAAGTTGATAAGAAATCAATGTAATAAAAACTACAGACAAAATGCCACATATCACCTTTATTTTCTCCTGACCTTTGGCTTCTTCGCAAGGCATTTCAATTACACATTTTCTCTCCTAAATAACCAATATAAAAACTATTAGAATCAATTAAAAAGCATTTAATAACTTTAATCAACTGTTAACGAAAGAAAAGTGTGACAAATGGGTTAATAGGGAATAATCAAGAGCAGAATAAAAACAAATTCACCCACACATCTGAAGGCATATCAAAATGACATTTCAAGTGCTGAGAGTGATCAATATATGTTGATGATTACGCTCACACACAACAATGTGAATATATTAGAAGTATATATGAATGATATCTGACAAAAATAAAACTGTTACATTATTTGTATATGTAGTAAATATAATATGCAGTACCAACCATGATCATAAGTATTGCACGGTAGAAATTGCTATAATCATAGTTTGTGTAGAATAAAAAGTGAATACATTGACGGTGCAAATTATACAATAACGGGTGAAGGTAACCATAAGGATGTAAGGGTCAGTTTATGTCAACATAGCATATTATATTACAAGTAACTGAACATTTACTGATTTCAAAATTCTTCACAAACAACAGCTTCCAAGAAATAAAGAATTATTTCATTCGGAACATTTACTTCCTATTAAATTCTTCACAAACAACAGCTTCCAAGAAATAAAGAATTATTTCATTCGGAACATTTACTTCCTATTAAATTCTTCACAAACAACAGCTTCCAAGAAATAAAGAATGATTTCATTCGGAACATTTACTTCCTATTAAATTCTTCACAAACAACAGCTTCCAAGAAATAAAGAATGATTTCATTCGGAACATTTACTTCCTATTAAATTCTTCACAAACAACAGCTTCCAAGAAATAAAGAATTATTTCATTCTACCATTCTCATGCAGCATTTAAAAATGCAATGCATTTTGAAATAGATGTTGATGAACAAGAAGTAACTACAATATGATATAAGTGTTTGACAGATGGGAATCTTCATAACAGTTGAGTATTTAATCAATTTATAAATTGGCAAGGACTACTTGGCCCTAAATGGAGTAAGCAATATCTAATATGGACACATTATTAAATTCTCATAAAAAATGACACAGTACTGGAAGCTGAAATTTCATCTGAATTCAAATAAATCTCAAAGTAATTGAAAGCAGACATAGGCACAAGGCACAAGTTATGTATCGTGTAATGCATTGAAATTAAGTCCAATGTATAATTTGATTCAGTTCAAAATACACAGAAAACAAGTCGATATTTGTGGTGAAAAATGAAAGTATGCATTGAAATAGTATATCATTTCTAACAAGTTTTCTAAACTCTAATTGTGAATAAATCCTTGTATGATCACTTCATACATTATCAAACATCACTCATAGTTGGCATTTTGTGACAGGTTCCCTCGATTGGTAATGAGTTGTTTTTTGTTCAAATTCTATAATTAAATGTACTGTTTTGTTTTGTTTTTCTGACAAGTTTTTAATTAACCCTTGAGTTGTCACCTGATATCTTATGTCACAATATAACAATTTTCTCTTAGGTCTATTACTGTCAAATACAAAGGCAAACATTTGATATTTACAGCCAATTTGTTGTAAAGATAAGTAGGACAAAAACACTGACTTAAAAATTTTACCAGCAGGAACAACATGTAATAAACCCTCAATTTGAACACAGAAATGGGGCACAGTTCTCACATTTCATTTTTCTTAAAAACAGGATTTGCATTTAAATGGCAAGATGCTTAAAAATTCCTTCATTTTACACTGATGCTAATACACTTAATGCCCAGCTATACATAGCTGCCAAAAAAAAGATAGTTCCATAATTATACTGATATTTCCTACTCGTGTTGATTTACTAAAATTGATTACTCTGGAACAACCATGTGGATGGCAAACATCCACTATTTGCAGGCCAACGACAAGGAAGTTGTGAAGGTTAAACACTGGGTGTCATTTACCATATCTTAAATCACATGTCTTTCTGGTTAGTTAATGTATTGGTATTAACACTGTACAAGTATATATTTACCCTATCAGCCTTCATTGTCACAACAAAAAGGTGTCAGATACCCTATTAACCTTAAAAGTCACAAAAGAAATATTTTCATCAACAAGAAAATACATAACATCAATTCTTTCTCTGTTGTAACTTACACCAAGGTTTGGAGGAAAGAATTCAATTAATTACCTATCATGTTTAGTATTAATGACTGAATGTTGTTTTCTCAATGTTTCTGAGACAAAAATTAAGGGCTATACAAAACACAATTGTTGCTTCTAAACTGTGATTATTTAAAACATGCCCCAACTGTTTGTAATAGAGACAGATATAATTTGATGAAACAGACTTTCTAGTTTTTCATCATATCCAACAGATTATTTAAATACTCCCCAAAAATACATGTTTATATCGTTTTATGACAATTCACTCCCTGTGATGTATAATAATATAACTGATGATTAAATAACATCATGTCCCATCAGTCCTACAAATCCTATGTAATCTCACAGATCTCACCTAATCAATTCCTTTTTAAGACTAGTCTATCAATAATCTCAGAGAAATTCTGGTTGGAGTGAAATACACCTAACAAGGTGTAATTATTTTATAGATACTTTGTTATGTAATGGTGTAAACTTCTGAAATGAATGATCCTTAAAGAACTAGTCTATTTGTATGTGACTTGTAGAGATATAAAACTGATTTGTGAACACTGAAAATCATTTCTTCTCTTCCTCATGATGTTTCTGAAATGTCATGGAAAAAAGCTTTAGAATGTCTGTTTTAATTCTCTAAAAACAGTTTGAAGGCATGAAAATTGTCCAATGAGCCAACAATACATGTTGCCCATTTGAGGTTAGTGAAAATAAGAAGAAAATTCAGAAATTATTGAAGTTTTCAGTAGTCACCATTCTCATTATTTATCAGACTTTCAGGTATTTACATCAAAATTGAACCTAATCAGTGTCCAAATATGTTTCTCTCTTTTTTTCTTTTTTCTTCTCAAATATCTGGGCTGTTTACCTTTGATCCAGCGACACCAAGCATTTCCTAGATGGATTACTTAAACATTAAGAGAAGCTGAACTCAGAGTAAAATATTATCAATTTAAATACCAAAATTAAAAGAATTCCTCTGAAAATATTTTCTACTTAAATGAGTAGAAGGTTAAAAAAACTGATAGCATTGATTACAGAAAATGTATACTTAATTTGAAGTCAACCTGAAATTTATCACGGGAGTTCTCGTCAAAATACACCAATACAGCATAGTTTTCAGAAATATTGACAAAAGATTACAATTGCTTATGTAAAACAGTGTCCAGGATGGTTGCTTCATTGAAAAAAAATACTTACAATCTGATAATCATGAATTGTTCCGGTAACAAAATGATTGTTTCGTGCCATTTTCATCAGTCAACATAAGTTCCCACACCTTGAGGAAATAGATTTGACTGCTGACTGATGAGACAAGATACAACTGAATACTTTTCAGAAACCAAATCTCCATAGCAACCCGAAGAAACAAATCTTAGTCTCAATCTTCTTTGTCAATGCAAGTCAATAAACTGACTTGAAATTTTTCTAAACCTTAGTTAATATCATGACAATCTTGTATACATGTAAATATAAATCATTTTTTATATTATCAACAAAAATAAACAAAAATTGAATAACAAATTGAAAGATTAAAAAAAGTAAAAAATTATAGTAAGCAACCTGCAGATCCTATCACTGAAAGAAAGCTCTTCTACAATTATGCAGTAAGAAAGTTTGTTTCTGGCAGTCAAATCGCAAGATTTAAATATCAACAAAATACAATATATTCAAACAAAAAAAACTCCTAGCAAACCATTATTATTTATTAATATTATTTGTGATTGATGTGTTTTGATATAAATATAGAAAGGTATATATATTTTTATAAACAATTTAAGGTGAAGTTAAATTCAGCAGGGATGGAAAGACAAGTATCCAACTGATGTAAAAGATATGTTGATAATATTAAGTGTTTACATTGTTATTTTTATAAAACAATTTGGATTGCTACCAAAAAAATGTTAAAACTGTTTTTGTGTATATATATATATATTAAACTATTAAACAGCAGGTTAAAGAAGAAATCTTATGTAAAGCTTTGTTAACTTGTACATACAGTACTTTTCCTATAAAACAACAAGAAACTCTTTAACACTATCAAACATTTAACAAAGACCAAGGTAAAGAAAGATGAAACACTTAAATGGACGTCTCTCTGGTTTCCAACTTGAGCAAATCTCCCAGTTTCTTTTGCTGACTCGATCCAGCAGCTACCCTCTGCGGAGAAAAATCAAATTGAAAAAATATGTATTTAAAGCTTTATTACTAAAAGAATATGTAGTTGTTATAAGCATGAACAGAAAAAATGTTCATATTGTAATTTTGTTACTCCTTACAAATTTTCATGGGCAGAAACAACAGGCCATGATACTGTTTATTTCCATTTTTCTCTTACACATCTACATGTTACAGTAGATACTTTGATAAAATGTTTGCCTCAAGGGTTTTGATAACATCATTAAAAACAAGAATGCTAACTTGGACAGAACTTGACAATCATGAATTGTTAAAAAAAAAGAACTTCCATTGGTAATAAGCACACTGAGAAAATGAATGAAACTAAACGGAAAGAAATAAACCAATCAATAGCAGAAGCTTCATTAAATACGTTAGAGTCCTGAACAGTGACAAGTGTGAACTGTAAGAGTAGATAATAGTGACAGGAAGTGTGATGTCAGGGTAGAGAACAGTGACAGGAAGTGTGATGTCAGGAGAGAGAACAGTGACAGGAAGTGTGATGTAAGGGTAGAGAACAGTGACAGGAAGTGTAATGTAAGGGTGAAGAACAGTGACAGGAAGTGTGATGTAATGATATAAAACAGTGACAGGAAGTGTGATGTAATGATATAGAACAGTGACAGGAAGTGTGATGTAAGGGTAGAGAACAGTGACAGGAAGTGTGATGTCAGGATAGAGAACAGTGACAGGAAGTGTGATGTCAGGATAGAGAACAGTGACAGGAAGTGTGATGTAAGGGTGAAGAACAGTGACAGGAAGTGTGATGTAAAAGTGAAGAACAGTGACAGAAAGTGTGATGTCAGTGTAGAGAACAGTGACAGGAAGTGTGATGTAATGATATAAAACAGTGACAGGAAGTGTGATGTAATGATATAGAACAGTGACAGGAAGTGTGATGTAAGGGTAGAGAACAGTGACAGGAAGTGTGATGTCAGGATAGAGAACAGTGACAGGAAGTGTGATGTCAGGATAGAGAACAGTGACAGGAAGTGAGTTGTCAAGGAAGAGAACAGTAACAGTAAGTGTCATGTCAGGATAGAAAACGGTGACAAGAAACGTGATGTAATGATAGAGAACAGTGACAGGAAGTGTGATGTAAGGGTAGACAACAGTGACAGGAAGTGTGATGTCAGGGTAGAAAACGGTGACAAGAAATGTGATGTAATGATAGAGAACAGTGACAGGAAGTGTGATGTAAGGGTAGACAACAGTGACAGGAAATGTGATGTAATGATACAGAACAGTGACAGGAAGTGTGATGTAAGGGTAGACAACAGTTACAGGAAGTTTGATGTCAGGGTAGAAAACAGTGACAGGAAACATGATGTAATGATAGAGAACAGTGACAGGAAGTGTGATGTCAGGGTAGAGAACAGTGACAGGAAGTGTGTGATGTTTAAAGATAATATGATGCAGAATGACTGCCTTGGGAACAGACAGATAATATCCCAAAAATATTAGAATTTGTTTCATTTTTTTTTTTTTTATTTAATTGACATAAATAACACTGAAAAGTGGATTCAACAAGTTTTCTCAACACTGAAATATCTAAATAGATATTTTGCTATGACAGCCATCATAATGTGTTGATTACTATCTTACATGTAGCAGACATTTTTGAGACTGATTTTTTTTTATCTTAAAGACTTTGTACATATATTAAAAAGGTGAACACTAGCAGAAGGTTTTTGGGTTTCCTTACCTGAATGTTAACACAAATACTTAAAGCATTGTGTCAAGATCTTGATCTCTAGAAAATTGAAAACCAAAGAAGAAAACGTTCTACTTGGTAATGTGTTAATTTATCTATGTATTCAATTTTTGATGTATAGGAAAATATATTTAGAGGTAAAGACAACAGATGTCTTAGAATGATACAGGATATATCTAGAGGTAAAGACAACAGATGTTTTAGAACTGATACTGGATATATCTAGAGGTAAAGACAACAGATGTTCTAGAATGATACAGGATATATCTAGAGGTAAAGACAACAGATGTTTTAGATATATCTAGATACAGGATATATATATCTAGAGGTAAAGACAACAGATGTTCTAGAATGATACAGGATATATCTAGAGGTAAAGACAACAGATGTTCTAGAATGATACAGGATATATCTAGAGGTAAAGACAACAGATGTTTTAGAATGATACAGGATATATCTAGAGGTAAAGACAACAGATGTTCTAGAATGATACAGGATATATCTAGAGGTAAAGACAACAGATGTTCTAGAATGATACAGGATATATCTAGAGGTAAAGACAACAGATGTTCTAGAATGATACAGGATATATCTAGAGGTAAAGACAACAGATGTTCTAGAATGATACAGGATATATCTAGAGGTAAAGACAACAGATGTTCTAGAATGATACAGGATATATCTAGAGGTAAAGACAACAGATGTTCTAGAATGATACAGGATATATCTAGAGGTAAAGACAACAGATGTTCTAGAATGATACAGGATAAATAGAGAGGTAAATACAACAGATTTTATAGAAAGATACAGGATATATCTAGAGGTAAAGACAACAGATGTACAGGATATATCTAGAGGTAAAGATACAGGATATATCTAGAGGTAAAGACAACAGATGAGGATATATCTAGAGGTAAAGACAACAGATGTTCTAGAATGATACAGGATATATCTAGAGGTAAAGACAACAGATGTTCTAGAATGATACAGGATATATCTAGAGGTAAAGACAACAGATGTTCTAGAATGATACAGGATATATCTAGAGGTAAAGACAACAGATGTTCTAGAATGATACAGGATATATCTAGAGGTAAAGACAACAGATGTTCTAGAACTGATACAGGATATATCTAGAGGTAAAGACAACAGATGTTCTAGAATGATACAGATATATCTGATACAGGATATATATATCTAGAGGTAAAGACAACAGATGTTCTAGAATGATACAGGATATATCTAGAGGTAAAGACAACAGATGTTCTAGAATGATACAGGATATATCTAGAGGTAAAGACAACAGATGTTTTAGAAATGATACAGGATATATCTAGAGGTAAAGACAACAGATGTTCTAGAACTGATACAGGATATATCTAGAGGTAAAGACAACAGATGTTTTAGAAATGATACAGGATATATCTAGAGGTAAAGACAACAGATGTTCTAGAATGAGGATATATCTAGAGGTAAAGACAACAGATGTTCTAGAATGATACAGGATATATCTAGAGGTAAAGACAACAGATGTTCTAGAATGATACAGGATATATCTAGAGGTAAAGACAACAGATGTTCTAGAACTGATACAGGATATATCTAGAGGTAAAGACAACAGATGTTCTAGAAATGATACAGGATATATCTAGAGGTAAAGACAACAGATGTTTTAGAACTGATACAGGATATATCTAGAGGTAAAGACAACAGATGTTCTAGAATGATACAGGATATATCTAGAGGTAAAGACAACAGATGTTCTAGAATGATACAGGATATATCTAGAGGTAAAGACAACAGATGTTCTAGAATGATACAGGATATATCTAGAGGTAAAGACAACAGATGTTCTAGAATGATACAGGATATATCTAGAGGTAAAGACAACAGATGTTTTAGAACTGATACAGGATATATCTAGAGGTAAAGACAACAGATGTTCTAGAACTGATACAGGATATATCTAGAGGTAAAGACAACAGATGTTCTAGAACTGATACAGGATATATCTAGAGGTAAAGACAACAGATGTTTTAGAACTGATACAGGATATATCTAGAGGTAAAGACAACAGATGTTCTAGAATGATACAGGATATATCTAGAGGTAAAGACAACAGATGTATATCTAGAAAAGACAACAGATGATATACAGGATATATCTAGAGGTAAAGACAACAGATGTTCTAGAATATATCTAGATACAGGATATATATATCTAGAGGTAAAGACAACAGATGTTCTAGAATGATACAGGATATATCTAGAGGTAAAGACAACAGATGTTCTAGAATGATACAGGATATATCTAGAGGTAAAGACAACAGATGTTCTAGAACTAGAGGTAAAGACAACAGATGTTCTTATACAGGATATATCTAGAGGTAAAGACAGTTCTAGATGAGAACTGATACAGGATATATCTAGAGGTAAAGACAACAGATGTTCTAGAATATATCTAGAGGTAAAGACAACAGATGTTTTAGAACTGATACAGGATATATCTAGAGGTAAAGATACAGGATATATCTAGAGGTAAAGACAACAGATGTTCTAGAATGATACAGGATATATCTAGAGGTAAAGACAACAGATGTTCTAGAATGATACAGGATATATCTAGAGGTAAAGACAACAGATGTTCTAGAATGATACAGGATATATCTAGAGGTACAGACAACAGATATATCTATATCTAGAGGTAAAGACAACAGATGTTCTAGAATGATACAGGATATATCTAGAGGTAAAGACAACAGATGTTCTAGAATGATACAGGATATATCTAGAGATAAAGACAAAGTATGTTCCATAAATGGTACAATGAATAAAGAAATGAAAAATGAATGTAATTTTAATTAGTATTAGCTCACTAAATCACCTGTAAGACATCAGACCAATTTTGTACTTAGACACAATAGATTTTACTATATACAATTTCCCACTTTGTCTTGTTATAATTATCTTTTATGAAGTCTTATACACTTTTGCCTGATTAATTGAAACTTGAAACAGTCTAACTGTTCCAATGCATGACTCTTTCCTTTTAGAGAGAGAAAGAAAAGTTTGATTGAAGTATTTCCAATCTACTATATTTTTCTTACCACTAATATCATGATGTGAGCTTTACACATATCAATATATCTGTTCATTAAATTCAGTTTTCTGAGGTTCTAAGCTTAATTTACACCCTTTCTTAACCAAAAGAAAATTACTACATAAAGGGGAAAAAAAAAGGAAATAAAATTTTTCAATTTCATTTCAGAAAATCGAACATTCCAAAATGTTAGTCAATTCAAATACTGAATATTTGGTCATGAATTCAATTTTAAGAGTTAAGATACAATTCATTTTATTTGATTTTATACCGGGACTGATTGATAAGTTGTGAGCCTCATATCTAAGGGCTTGACTTTTGGAGGGCATTGTTTTTCCACATAATCCCCTTTAGTACCTATACGCTTTTGCCAGTCATATTTAAGGGGCTCAATGCCACTTTTAAAGAAGTCCTTTCTTTGCATGTATGACATCATCATCTGACCGAAAGTGGGTACCAGAAATGGCCTTTTGCAATTTTGGAAATAGATGATAATCTGATTGAGTGAGATCGGATAAATGAGGATTCTCAATAACTCCAAACCCATTATTTCTTAATGGCAGCTATGGCAATGACAGACTTGAGAAAAGGGGCATTATCCTGGTGGAACAACACACCTTTACTGAAGTTTCTGCAGTGCTTGAGTTTAAATTTTTTCATAACTGCCTAAGAATGTATACATATGTGCCATTGATTGTTTGTCCCTTCGACAGATAATCTACCATCAGAATACCATCAGCATCCCCCTGAAAACTGAGGCAATAACCTTCCCAGCTGATGGAAGTCTTTGCGTTCTTTGGAGGGGTAAATGAGGGTGTTTCCATTGTTTAGACTGTTGTTTGGCCTCTGGGGTGAAATGATGGAACCGCCTTTCATCCATAGTCATACACCCCTGCAGAAAGTTAGCAGGATCTGCCTATAAAAGGTTCAGATGAGAATGCAACAAAGTTCATCTGGTGTGCTTCTGATCAACTGTCTTGGTACCCAACGGGCTGACAGCTTCTCCATTGCAAGATTTTCCGTAAGAAATGAACATACTCTTTCCTGAGAAAATGTACTGGCTATATATCTTTCTGTACCTTGCCTGTTAGCCATAACAACATCATAGACTTTATTGACCATTTCTAAGGGTTGCAACAGTGACAGGCCTTCCAGGACGGGCATCATCCCCATGGCTCTGCCTGCCACGCTTAGATTCTGCCACCCACCTTTTCACTGTAGCATATGAAGGGGCATCATTCCCTAGTGTTGCTACCATATCAGTATGGATATCCTTAGGTGCTAGACCATTCTTATGCAAATATTGAATCACTGCTGTTTCAGCGATTTTGTCCATTTTGCAAAAGTCATTTGCCTGGTTTACTTTAGAGTGCTACCTCTTCTACATAAACTGACCAAATGACACCAGTCTATGGGTTCACAGACTTAAATAGACAGGGAATAGTAGAGCTGAAAAAGGACCTCCCCACTTAACTTCTTCAATACAATGCTCATGCCTTATCAATCAGCCCTAGTATATCACAAAAAACACTTTCTGAACAACTGAGCTGAAACTTGACATTAATTTGGATACTGAATGCAATTATGAACAACATCGAAGATCATCATTTTAGGTTTAAATTGGGGCCAAAATAATTTGAGAGGGATCTTTGTGCCTACCATTGATGACTTAATTGGTTCTATTTGCAAGACTGATTTTTTCTTTCCTTTTAAATATATACCTGTTGTTACAGTCATGTCAATAATCCAATAATTATGGTACCTGACCAAAATTTCTTGATGAATCATATGGTGCCTAATGCTGCCTATTAATTTCTTTTCTTTCAAAAAAGATACTGTCAAAGCTGATGACTAATATTGTGTCAGATAAAAGGTAAAAAACATCAAGGTCTTTTGTCAAAATTCAAACTCGGTAACCGAACTGTAAGTATCAACATTCTAATATGACCGATAGTGGCAAGCACAACTAGAACCCCAACTGAACATGTTCTTCATATTTCATGGTGATCTCTTTATTGGTCCTTCAGAAATAGTTAGTTGTAAAAAAACCCAGAATATGAAAATTAAAAATGGCAACAATAAAGAAATTACAAACAGCATAAACTTTATATATTTTGTGCAGATTAGGAATTGACGAAGACCATTGTTGTCATCTTGAGTTTGGAATTGACCAAGAATATCTTCAAAACATAAGTTAACAACACTAAAACATGAGTTTTGAAACTACATCAATGTTATATTTTAATATGGATCCTTGAACAAGAGCCTTGTAGATCTTCGTGATTCAGTCATTTACAAAGGATACCGCGTTAGTGTCACTATCAACAAAATGAACGTTACAGGCCTGATCTAAAGTATTTTTGGAATCAGCTTTTTTCAGTCCCTGATGTAGCTTTTTGATATATATTTCTCCATACCCACAAACCTGTATTATGAAGGGTGTTAGTTTTGAGTTATCAACATCTCATACATCTCTTGAAGACTTTGTGATTTTTGTTAATACAGAGAAGGTCAGAAATTTCTACCTCAGCCTGCAGGGCTTGCTTGGACTGAAACATCATTTTTTCCAGCTCAATTTCTACCCATTTGGGAGTGTCTGGGATACAGTAGGCCACAGCTCCCTTCACTCCAAGGATCAAATGCTGTAAACACCAGAAAGAAGTTTTGTAGTGAAAAATTGACTTGTTTCTAACAAGCAAGGAATCCTGTGGACATAAAAACATAAGCACATAAGACAAGAGATCCCAGAGGGATCTTTACACCCATCATTGCTTGAAATTGTCAGAAATAGCAAAATCAAAGAGGCTGCCTGTTGGCCATTTGTTTTTCTGACCAGTCCCAAACTCAATAGGCACAATTTGGAACCTAAAGAACCCTATGCATGAAATTTCACAAAGATCTATACAATAGTTCTCAAAAAATAGTGATAACAAACTTTCAAAGTCAAAATCTAAGATGTCCATCTTTCGGCCATTTTGTTTTTGTTATTGGTCCCAAAATCAAACTGGAACAACAAGGGACCAAGGAGAGCCTACATATGAAATTTGAGAAAGATCCATTATGTACTTCTCAAGACGAAGCAATAACAAACTTTCAAAGTTAAAATCCAACATGGCTGCCTTTTGGCCATTTGGTTTTTTTTATCATACCCAAAATAAAACAGGCATAACTAGGGACCATGGGAAACCTACACATGGAATTTAGGAAAGAACCATCAAGTCCTTCTCAAGAAAATCTGATGATGGTGGGCTAAAAGTACCAACATGTTAATTTAATCATAATCCAAACTCAATTCAACAAACCTAGGGCAAAATATGAACAAAAAAAGAATTACATGGAGACTCCTGAAAAAGTATAATGGAGGTGTAGGTAAATGGGCTGAATACAGAACAATTATAAAACAGCTTTTGTTGGCATTTCCATGGTAACTACTTAAATATTTATTGAAGGTATAACCAAGCTTGGGCTTACTGGTGGATAAATATGGTAACAACAATAACAAAACTAAACATTTCATTGTTTACTGTAAACAGAAGAATACACTCAGGTCCTGTTATGGTAACACTGCTATTGGGTGTAACAAGATTTCTTCACTTAGATTAAATGTCGTCTACAGGAACTTACTTCCACAGCCACAAAGATGAGGACCATGTTGACTGCACTAATGTCGGAAGGAAGCAGCTTTTTCACCTCTGGGTCCATCCCTATCAAGGCACAGTTAGTGATCACAGCGATGATACTAATCACCTCAAAAGCAACCTGTTGGAGAGAGTATAGTATAGACTTCAGTTAACTTGCAATCAGATCAACTGTTCTGGTAGGGTAGTATTTCATTACTAGATTTACTAAACAAAAACAAAAAAATAATTTCAGAATACCTTCTGATAGAAAATGATGATTAATCTGAAAACTTTATTGTGATAGAACATTTGTAATGTTGTATATGCAAAATAAAACTAGTGTGTTCATGTATGAATTGATTCTGAAAATACACATGGTCAGGTACTCTGTACAAACCTGCCAAGCACCAATGTTTGACGCTGATTCAGCAAATGGCCTTTGGAAAACCCGGCACATCTTAAATGCATCTGATCTGATCTCTGTCACGTTGTTGAGTAGAGCCCAGAAAGCAGCGAGAGGAAACGCAGAGGAGAACAAGAACACGTAACCAAACTGCAGGAACATTTCCAGGTAATCATCCATTGTACCCTAATATAGACAAACAGTTTGATTTATATAATCTGATAGCACTATTATTGATGACAATATCATCTTACCACATATACACCCATATCTCTGTTCTGGGTTAAACTGAGTAACAAAAGAGTCATGGCTTTTTTATATAAAAAATAACTTCCTGCCAATGTCTGAAGAAAACAAAACAAGAACAAAACAGAAAAAAAGGAACAAAACAAGCTATCAGTTTGATTAATAGTGGGTATGTAAGTAATTTGAGTTTGAGGGAGTGACTGTGGCTGCATTTTTGTGTGCTCTTCTGATTCAACTTATTCACTTTGCCTTGTGCTCATGAATGGTAGATTTTAGGCTGACCTGTTTATGTATAGTCTGATGACCTCTGACCTTTACACTTAATATGTAATTGTCCATGGTTGATTCTAAGTTGACCTGTTTCTGTATGGCCTGATGACCTCTTACCTTTACACTTAATATGTAATTGTCCATGGTAGATTCTAAGTTGACCTGTTTCTGTGTGGCCATGGTAGGTATTCTAAGTTGACCTGTTTGTGTATGGCCTGAGGAACCCTGACCTTTACAACTTACCTCGTACTCGTCCATGGTAGATTCTAAGTTGACCTGTTCCTGTATGGCCTGATGACCTCTGACCTTTACACTTAATATGTAATTGTCCATGGTAGATTCTAAGTTGACCTGTTTCTGTGTGGCCTGAGGAACCCTGACCTTTACAACTTACCTCGTACTCGTCCATGGTAGATTCTAAGTTGACCTGTTTCTGTATGGCCTGATGACCTCTGACCTTTACAACTTACCTCGTACTCGTCCATGGTAGATTCTAAGTTGACCTGTTTGTGTATGGACTGAGGAACCCTGACCTTTACAACTTACCTCGTACTCGTCCATGGTAGATTCTAAGTTGACCTGTTTCTGTGTGGCCTGAGGAACCATGACCTTTACAACTTACCTCGTACTCGTCCATGGTAGATTCTAAGTTGACCTGTTTCTGTGTGGCCTGAGGAACCCTGACCTTTACAACTTACCTCGTACTCGTCCATGGTAGATTCTAAGTTGACCTGTTTCTGTGTGGTCTGATCCACCTCCTGGTTGAAGTATTCCACCTTTTGTACGGCTGCTTCTTTCTGCATCACTTTATCCACTTGCTGTTTCCTGCGACGGACAAAGATGAATGGAACCATGGCTTCTCTCACCTGGCCAATTACCTGCTGGGTCACCAGGAGGGCTGCCAGATGCTACAGAATCAAAAGAATACCTAAACTTTTCTGAACTAAAACAATTGAAGTGTTATTAACAATGAACAATGAAACTGTGGTAATTTTTCTGGTCTGTAAAGATACTCATGTTATATTTTCATCAAATTTGTCACTGAATCTTTGAATCACAGAATATTTTGAAAATAATGGTTCTTTTTATTCATATTCCACATCATATTTCAAACAGGTCTTGTTTTCATAGTTATACAATAGAAGATAACTTACACTGCGGAGGAGGGTCATGTCTTGGAGATAGAAAGCCACATAGAACAATGACATAAAGCAGTTCACAAAATCAAACTGTAAAAGATTAAAAAAATCACATCAGTGAAACAATTTCTCTATCCAGTAATTAATATTTACATCAAATTTCAAGCCATGCAAATACTTTAACTTATTTAATTTATTTTCCATTCTATTTTTAAAGCCCCCTTTTCTTCTATTGATTTCCTTATCTAATATTATATACTCCTTCCTTCTATAAACATGTATGTTTTTCCTCCTATTCCATTATCCTACTATTTTTCCGTTTTCTTCCATTTTCTGCTCCTTTCCTTTTAATCTTTCCTTCCCTTCAATTTCCTTCCTTCTATGTATTTTTGGCTTTTTATTCTATTCCTCCTCCATTCTTTTCCTTATTTTTGATTCTCATCCCTTTTATATTTTTCCCTTCTCATTCTTCTTTAATTCAACGCTTTATATTTTATTTTCACACTTAATATTGTTGTTATTGATAGTGGGTTTTAGAAGTATTAAGTAATGCCACCATAATGGGCTTTAGGTTAACATATTTTTTTTATTTCCCCACAAATTAATTGATATGTGATATCTATCATAATCTAGATAAACATACCAGGATGAGTTTGACAATCAGATGGTTGTCATAGGATGACTGGAGTCGATGGTTCTCTGTGATATAAAAAAAATAAAACATTGATTTAGCCTAAACCTGGCTTGGGATCATTAAATCTAACAATAAACCAGCAAAACAACTCTAAGATAGCAAAGATGTGTCATGTTACTACATCACAAAGGAAAATAAAATCACCTTTTCCATTAAAGGTTGACTGATTCGTCCAGATTTACGTCCCATATAGCTATTACATTTGTAGGAAATAAAGCCTGGATTGTGGTACTTTCTTTATCAATAAGAGTGCTATTTAGTATTTCATTAGAAACAGGCCTGATACAGGCTTTACTCTAGCTCTGTGAAAATAACAATTCACAGATTCTGTCACAGAAACCAATTTTCAATGAACATACAACCAAGAGGTCCAATGGTCCTGCATCACACACCTTGTATTCAATAACATTTTAATCAACAATTTACGTCACTGAACTTGAATGCCTTAGTTCATGAGAAGTTGCTTGTATTTTAAACACATTTTATTCCTATGACTTTGAATATTGCTCAAGCTTATTCTTTTCACAAAATTTCTAAAGCTCTATCTCCCTGGAATCTGTCAACCAACGGAAATTGTTTGAAGGTTTTAATAAATGACCCTCATGCAAGCAACTTTATAAAAATATCATGATGCTATACCTTTTGGTTCATCAAAACAGATTTGATCCTTAAATATGGGTCAATGTCATATCTTTTCCTGAACTGTATTGGGCTTAATTCAAGGAACAGACCAATCAAATATCATGATTCTGGATTTTTTGTTAATCACAAGATGTCTTTTTAATGTTTTAACAACTCTGACCTCAGTGCTCTTGGATATGGGTCCAGATAATTTCTTTTAGCAAAACTTGTTGATCACAACTCTAACAACATCCTTCCCAAAAAATCATGATTTTAGGTACTCTGGTTAATCACTAGTGGTCATTTAAAAGTTTTACTAAATTTGACCTCAGTGACTTTGAATAAAGATTGGTCATTGAAAGGGGAAAATTTGACACCAATCACATGACTGGCATTGTACATTCACTTGAACCTTTGGGCCAGGTGATTAAAATTAATGTACCACAACTATTCATTAAATATAAGAACATACCAACTTTATTCAAAAGAACCAAATGAAGAGGAACTAAGAACCACAAAGCACAGCATTTATCTTCCACATCCAGCTTTTAGAATGAAAGCCCAAACAGATTTAAACACTGATGTTATTGTTCATCCTCTGTGTCTTCCACTTTTGATGTTTAACTTGTGTAAATACCAGTTGAACAGTTTTATAAATGTAGCCAAAAAAAGCATGGAAACAGTGAAATTGGCATTGTGTACAAAATATGTTTCCAAGGCAACAGGAAATTATCAACAAAAGATCCTGCATGCATCTTGGCACTGGCCTTTGCTTGATCTTTTTTTGCCCTTAAACAGTTGGATCTGCCTCCTTTTCTCTTCTTTCCCCCATTTTCATTCTTAATTATAGAGAATTTGAAAATGAAACAGTCATTGAAATCCAAGAGGTCCCCTGTAAGCAGTTTCACTTTACTGACCACTTCAAAGTTCAAAACAGCACAACTAGAAAACAACAGGAACTGACACATGAAATCTGGGAAAGGTCTATTCAGTATTTGCCGAGATATAGTGAATACAATCTTTTGTTGTCAAATCCCGAAAATAAGACGGTCATTTGTCAGCTTTTTTGTTTTTCCAAAATCAGTCCCAAAATCAAAAGGGCACAGCTAAGGACCAATAGAAATCTATACTGGAATTCTGTCAAAGATCCATCACATAACAATAATAAACTTTCATCTTTTTCTAATAAATATAGTATAAATTCTACAAACCGAAGTCGTTGAGTATTTTGGCAATTTTCCTGTAGAAGTTGTTGACAATGCCGATGATGATAGCATAGATTGCAGTAGGTATGTACAGTAATATCATATTAAACCAGGTCTTGTCCTTGGCATACACTTCATCAGCCCATGCCTGCAGAAACATCAGAAAAGAAAAAAATGATCATAAATATACATATGTCCCTGGACAACCTTCAGATCCTATTTGTTGAGGATTTCAAATGTCTGTCCTTTGATAGTCACTGGTATACTATTCTCTAGTTAAACTATTACATAAATGGCTGGCTTTGTGTTCAATATCCATAGAAGTGAATTCCTCTGTTGTTGTAGTAATATTTTTCCTTGTAACTTAAACCAAACTACTTCAAATACCTAGAATTGGCATAAGAATAAATATTATTAGCAATTGGCATTTTGATTATGAAAAATATGAATTTTATGTTCGCTAGAATACAAAAAACTATAAAGGTATCGATGATCAATTAATGAAAAATTAAAATGATAATTGCATCAGATAAGGTTAAACAATTAGATAATGGGTCATATCAAATCACCGTCCTACATCTAGGTTCACCAAATTTGTAAATAAAATACCGATAACAAAATCTTACCTGTAAATAAAAGTACCCCAACATGATATAGAATGCAACCAAGAGACCGAATCCTATAACAGGAACAGTAACTCCGTAGAACCTCAGTGAGCGTTTGTATTTCGGGAAGTGTGGCTCAGGCTTGCCTGTCACAGGATTTTTATCCATAGTTCCATGGTACATTGCTCGTGGTTCTTGTGATCGATTCAGTTCTACATCCTGGGCCTGTCCCCATTTGAAGGACAACTCGGAGCAATAGCGTTTCCATGCCTCCAGGAATATTGTAGCCCAAATAAGATTGAAGACAGCAAAGATGGCCTCCCTGTACATGCTTTTCCATGACGTTATCAAATAAAGAATTCCTATGAAGGCTGGTGGAATGAGAGCTACAGTGTAGAATCCCAGGAAGGCAAAGTACATGCCAATTTTCTCTCCAAAGTAATCTCGAATGTGGTCTGCAAGATGAGACATTCAAAATTTTACTGACTTGATTAACCACTACGGTGGATGAAGACATGACTGTAGATATGACTGTATACATGAGGCCTCCAGGTACTATCACTAATTATTATATGTTTAATACTGATAACAAGTTGATATCATACCCCCTGAAGTGATATCACAACCCCTGTTAACGTCATGAATGACAGCAATCCACACACAATGTGTGTGTAAACAGATATCTCATTCATACAAAAAAGGAGTTCAAATAGACCCACTGCGAGGTGGCATGTTGTCATTGACTCCTCCAATTATTGAAAAGTGGGTGGAGCCAGATGGTTTTTTTTTTCATGAAGAAATGAAAAGAAAAATTGACCAATCAGAAAGCTGCATCTTGTGTACAAACAATGAAAAATTGTCAATAAATCAGTTTAAATGCAAAGACAGTTTTACCTGGGAAGGAGCAGTAAGTTTGGTATAATATTAAGCTATATGTATCACCAGTTATAAAAAGTACAAACAAAAATATTTATTTCATTCATTCTGAAACTATATTTTACTAATGACAGAGAATACTGCTATATTTCAATTTCGTTTAAACTTTTAAATAAATTGTCAGTTAAGGTCATAAAGAACCAAAATTGCTGTTGTGGCAGACAAAATTACAGACTAAATCTCAGATCATTTGTGCTTACTGATTTCATCTCATTTAATTTCTGGGTAAATATTTACACGTGTTCAGAGCAAGCAAAAGGAAAGCACTGCCTAAACACAAAATTCATATTTAGATGTAGAATTGTATTTAACTACTGACATCAGTACTGGAAAATGTCCTTTCTTGAAGTGTGACAAATCTGTTCCGTAGTTTAGAGTGGACAAAAGAGCTATCCATATAAAGGGAAAATATTCACATTACCTTCTGTATTATCCTTGCTTATTATTGAGGGGCTAATATTTTGTATTTGTCCCAGAAAATGAGAAAATAGCTCCTCCTAAAATTGCTAAATCAAGATGCTGTTCTATAACACACAATTTCATGTTATGGTTACTAATCCTTCCAAATTTGAAAAAGATTGTAAACATCTGTGATAGGAGATCAGAGGGCAGTAACTTTTCCATAAACAGACCAATATCACTGCAGTTCAAGAAAACAATAGTTTGTAACTTTGATTAAACCTTCAGAGTTTAGAAAAGTTTGGTGGAAAATTGTTGGGGATTTCTGGACAAATGAAAGAATAATACCAAACAATGTTGACAGGTATATAAAAACTTTGTTTACAGGGTAAATAACGACAACAAAATCATAATAGAGTGAGTTACAGAACATAATAATGTCAGCTTAAATACTCAAAATAAACTCTATCTCAACCTATAATGAAAACTGCAGTTCAATCCAAACATATATAGAAGTCTGAGCGGATCCTAGAGGATTAACAGACAAAGCTGTACAAAACACGTTTTCAAGTTCACTTACGTATGGGCTGTTCTTTGGCAAACTGTTTGAGCTGGTACCACTCTGCTCCTAAACGCTTTATCTCCTCTTCGTCGTGTAGTGGGTACATCTTGGCTATGATTCCATTGCTGACATATTTCTTAACTGCAATCATTTTATCAAAGGCTTCCATCAGAAAAGACATTATCTATTGTACAAGTGCATAGAAAAACCAGTCCTAAGATGACATGAGTTGGTCATATCGACATACCCCAGTAAATGGGAAATAATCATAATAAAAATTGAATTTCAATTTGATTTCTTTTGGGTTCCAGACACTTTCCTTATAGGTTCAAAAATTGTTACATATGAAATCTGGATAAAACATCTATTTGTAGTGTGTTACAAGGTAAATATCTTAAATACCAATACCAGATCTGAGGCCTGTATGTAACATAGGAATCATTGTCAATTTATGCACCAAAAAGCGAAGTAGCTTTGAATATATATATCAAAGAATTAATTCAAAGAAAGTAATCTTTCTGTAGTACTAATCAGCAAATTAATTTTATGACAAGCATATGAATATAAATGTCCCCTAGTGGCCAAAGCAACTTGTTACACTAAAATCATCAAAAAAATAAAAGATGAAGTTTACTTTGTAACAGGTTTAATGTAACAACACTCAAAATTTCAATGCAGGTACTTTGACAGAGTAACTTTATAAAATAACAATTCTACTTTACCTGAAACCCTTTAACACAATGATACACACATACAAAATAGAGCATGACCTCAAAAACCCCAAACAAACAAAAAGGACCAACAAAAATAATAATGTAAAAATGTATAAAAAGAAACTGAACCATGAATTTCAGTGGTAACTCGTTATTACAAAGCCACGTACCAAATGTCTCCTCATTATCTTTAGGTATGACAGAAACAAAATGGGATACATACATAAATTCCATAAAATTTCTACTTTGTTCAAAGAGCCATAACTCTCCAAAAAAGGTGATCATGAACAGAGAGTTTAAGTTGATCTGTAACTTGTTATTATTAAGCAAAGTTTCAGCTAATTTTCTTCAGACATGTCAATGTAAACTGCAGAAAACCTAAAGAGGGATTTACAGACTGAAGCAAAAGCTGTATGGGATTTCAGAAGAAGATTCTTAAAGTTGACCTTTAACCTCTAACCTTTAATCAAAATACATCAGAAAAAAATTAACACTGTTGGTCTACTTAACACACTCAGGTACCAGTTGCTTCAGGTCATATGGCTGATCAAGTAATGTTAAAGTTTCCAGTTCTGAACATATCTGACATCAAACTTTCTAATGTTTATAAATTAAGTAAAAGATAAAGCAAACAAATGACCTCTGCAAGCACTGAAAGTTGACCTTTGACAGAAACACATCATACCATTAAAGATTTGCACTGATCTACATCACATACTCAGGTATCATTGCTCTGTACCTTTTTGAATCAACCATTGTGACCTTGACTGTGTGTCAAGGTTATTCATCCCTGTTATGCCTACTGACCAGTGATGGTATATCCAGGAGTTCAGTGACTTACGAATACAATCAAAGTTTCATACCACTAGATTTTTTAAAGCAAGCTGAAATTTTCAACATGTATCTTGTAAAGAGGATGGGAGTGCCACACTTACCGATACTGTTTCCAGCGAAGAGTCTGGCCCTGTCGTAACCTGCAATAGCAGTGTCATCTTCTGTGGCTTTCATCATCTCTAGTTCATGGAGTATGATTTTCTGTTTCTCTGCCATTGTTAAAAAGTTGTCTAGGTCCTCTGCAAAACAAATCTTAACTTGTAAAATAATATCTAACTCCTTCCATATGAAGATAGCTGAGGAGTGAAGCATTATATGTATATTCTGTACTATAAACTTGAAGTCTGTGTGTTGTGAAATCTACAAAATATTTTGAAACATTACCCGGTATATCTCCAGTACTAAACTTAAAGTTTGTGTATTGTGAGATCTTTATATCATAATAAAGCAAAAAGGAAACTCACCACTACAAGGACATTGTGCTAAATATGTCTATGTTTTGGCCACTGGGCAGCCGTCATCAGGACACTGCTCTATCTAATCCTAAACAGGTCCACCCGAGGACACTACCACTATTGTGTTAATCCTATACAGATCTCACCTACAGGACATTGTGTTAAATACTCTATTTAATCCTATACATACTCACCACCAAGGACATTGTGCTAAATATGTCTATGTTTTGGCCACTGGGCAGCCGTCATCAGGAAACTCACCACTACAAGGACATTGTGCTAAATATGTCTACGTTTTGGCCACTGGGCAGCCGTCATCAGGAAACTCACCACTACAAGGACATTGTGCTAAATATGTCTACGTTTTGGCCACTGGGCAGCCATCATCAGAACTATTATTATGTTTTCTTGTTAAGGAACTTTGTTGAAATCTATATGGATCCACCTGAGGACACTGCTCTATTTAATCCTATACAGGTCCACCTGAGGACACTGCTCTATTTAATCCTATACAGGTCCACCTGAGGACACTACTCTATTTAATCCTATACAGATCCACCCGAGGACACTACTCTATTTAATCCTATACAGATCCACCCGAGGACAATATTCTATTTAATCCATACAGATCCGCCAGAGGACACTACTCTATTTAATCCTATACTGATCCACTAGAGGACAGTACTCCATTTAATCCTATACAGATCCGCCAGAGGACACTACTCTATTTAATCCTATACTGATCCACCCAAGGACACTACTCTATTACATCCTATATAGATCTACACGAGGACACAACTCTATTTAATCCTAAACAGGTCCACCTGAGGACACTACTCTATTACATCCTATACAGATCCACCTGAGGACACTGCTCTATTGAACCCTATACAGATCCACCCGGGGTCACTATTGCAAAGTTCCACATGAAGAGTGTTTGATCATCCTTTATTTATTCTTTTTAAAATTAACATGTCAAGAGATCTTTACATCAACGTTACTTACTTGATCCTCTAAAGTTCGTGACATCATCAACAGAGAATTCATGGTGGTAACCATCACGATATTCCTTTTTAATATCCATCATGTCTGCTGCCCATAGCAACCGTTCAGTGCTGCCCCCCACATACAGAACTGTCTCCTGTAAATATTGTAATCAGCATCAATGAATAACCAAATAACATCAAGTGGTATATCATTTTGGACCCTGGCAGATACTTATTGTTTTCTTTTTCTGACTGGGAGCATATTCATTCCCTCATCTCCCTTCTTTTAGAATTTTCTGAAATATGTGGTGATTTTGCCTGTATGATTCAACAGGATTCTTTAGATTTTTTATTCTTATTAGAAATTTCATTGTTCCATAAACTTCAAGATTGTAGTGGGTGTTTTTTTTTTTTTTTGTTTTTGTTTGTTTTTTGCATTACAATCAACAAAAGTACCAAAATGAAAAGAAGAAAATAATTTACAATTTTGATCTGGTAGAAATGAGAATCAGTCAAACTTTTGTTGTTTATTCCAGATCAATGAAAGTTTCTTATCCTTAATTGTTTAAAAAAAACCCTTGTCAACATGAAAATGTAAATACAAATTAATATTAAATGTGACATCATCAAAATGAAACATCTCCGACCATCAGTAGCAAAAGCGTACAAGTACATTTTATATTCCCTTATAGGGCCATGCCCCTCTGTGATATGAAGCTAGAAAACATATCCTATATTTAGACAACATTGCATTTCACTGTACCACTAATCCTTCAACAAATTTAAAATCACGTCATCCTTTTTATATGTCTTGTCTTTTCAGTTCTGCTGGCCTACTGGCAAACTTCAGCAGAAAAATCTCTCTATCCAATAAGGACATCGGCACTTATCTTTTAAACATTGTCTTCTTTCTAAACAGTGTCATACCATATTACCTAATAACACAGACTTGTTACCAAACAGGTTTTGCTTTTTATATAAAGTTCGTACATACTGTAGGTATTCATAAACGTTAAAAAACTACACTACCTCAAAATAGGAATATGTAACAGTTCTCTATGCTTTATTAATAAGGAAACCTTGGTAATGTGACATGTTAGTTGTCATGATAACATCAGGATGGGTAGAAGGGATGGATTGGAATGGTAGTTAGGCTAAAATCTAGTAAAAGACTTCAGTATTGTTGACGGATAATATAAATACTAAATACAGCTTTTGTACCTAATTTTCACGATGCGTGATAGTTAGTTGCTAAGTAAATGATAAGGATGCCACAGGAGATTGTGTCCTATTCCAACACTGATCGCTTGCCTATCATTATTACAATTAATGCACAATTAAAGCTGCAGCTATTTGTATCACACTTTTATGTAAACAAACAAAATATGTCTGCAAATTTAATTAATCGATTTAAGAATTATAAAGAAGTCTGATAATATGAATGTACCCCTACAGTTTATAGGGTATCATGATTGATAGTATACAACCAGCAACAGAAGATCAGGACTTAACATAGTGCAATTGATGCTGAATTGGTAATATAGGTGCTGCCACCTAGGAGACAAACATTGCACTGACACAAAACGTACTGCCACCTTGGAGACAAACATTGTACCGACAAATACTGTACTCCCACCTAGTAGAGACAGATTTCATTGATAGAGAAGGTGCTGCCATCTAGTGAATACCATCACAGCAGAATTATGAAAGTACTGCCACCGTGAGACATCTAAGTTGGATACAAACACACAGGAACTGACAAATTATTTTAATTAATAAACAGCTCTTAGTGCTCTGCCACCTTAAAAAGTTTATTAGTCTGATCCGCAAGGCAATCAGCGCCACCTAGAGGGTAAATATGTTATAACACATTCCAAGCCAGTCTAGAATATTAAGTGTAAGGTAATATTTTCAGTCAAATAACAACATTTGCTGATCATCACAATTACATCACATTCCTATATCATAAAACATGTTGTGTGATTTAATTCTCGGATTCCTTTAATGTATAGCATAAAGTTTCCGTTTAAATTCATATTTTGTACCTGTTTACTGAAGAAATGTTACCATATATTGTTTGCTACAAAATTCCTATCAGCAATCTCCAACCATATAAGAAAATCCTTAATGTTCACCCTAATTTAAATTTCGATAGGTTTTATAACTATAATTAACACAGACACTCTCAACCATGTTCGAAGAAATCAATTATTTTTTGGTATCAAGTGTATGTGTTGCAGTGATTTTGATTCAAATATTCTGCTATGCTAGGGTGCTGGAATATTAACTTGCATATAGGCACTTTGGTTAGGTCTATACTAGTAAATTTTCAAAGTATGCATTAGGTAAGCAAATTTCTGTCCTCCATAATCTCTTTGAATCTTATCATTAAATTATGTGATCAGAAATATTGCATTGATACAGAAAAATGTTTGCTATATTGAAGATACATGTGTATATACAAGTACAGGCAAACTTGTGAAGGTTGAAGATTCAAGTTTCCTTCAGGAATACATACCCCTTTCCCGCTGGGATCGACCTGTGTGAATTAGGGGATCATTATACCTTAAGTAAATCATTATTAGATACATTCATAGTGGTCCTACCATTACATCAGGACAATCATTATTCATGCATCAACTATTAATCTAGATGCATTACTAAGGTTGCATATCAAATTTACAAACACAAATTCCAAATCATTTGCCATTTTCATAATTTTTTTTAACTGGAGCCGGAATTCAATGTAAAGATGTGATTTTCCGGTATTTTACCCAATTTACACAATCTTAATCACCCTGGTAAATATTTAAACTTCTGGATCATGGTTATTCAATAAATTTTATGTTGTTGAAATTACATAACTGATGTATGGACATATTAAAAGGAAATCCATGCTGTTCACTATTGATGCTTACTCGCGCACACACCATTGTTAACATACAAACATTTCATGCATCAACTTGTTCAAATGGTTGTCTTCCACACCTTAAGAGACATTTGTTTTACAAATCAGAGCAATTCTTGTTTTCATGTACCACATTATACACTTCAAAATAAAACAAACAGGATATTTTTCTTACATGATGATGTAACTGAAAGCAAAATGGGATGAAGAAAACCTGTTAATATGATTATGTAGCACAGTATATATATACATGTAAATCAACACTTGGATGCAGTTATATAAAATGATATACAGGCATTGAAAACAACGGGGATATTAATCTACACAGGTAGATATAAATAAACCTCCACAGGTGTACACATATTGATCTACATTGTTGGTAGTCACATGTGCAGATTTAGTCGAGCAGGCTGTCGTTACCAACAACCAGGCGTGGCATCTGACGTAACTATGACAACCAAGCCTGTCATGCAGACATTATACTTACAGTGACACCCTGTGAAAATGAACAAAAATTCTGAAGGGTTGATAAATTTTCTTTTTCTTAAAACATCAACAGATACATTTATTGGTAATGTTTTACAATGAAAGAGACAAAAAATGCATGTTTCTTAGTTATTATATCTATTCATATACTTGCAATGCTAATTTACTGACCGCAAAGTTTTTTAATTAATCAGATAATCTGTGAAAAGCTGTCAGATACTAAACATTTGTTGGTCTGTGAATGTGCATGGCAGTGAGTATCTAACTACCTACCTTTTAAAGTTCAGCACAAATTTCGACAGAATACAGGATAAATTCTAGGTCAATAGTGCTACAGAAAATGTGAGGGTTTTCGTGAACGTTAATAGGATTTCCTTGTGTAATATAGCACATTCTTAGAATTTCGATGACCCAAACTTACAGCAAAACTGATCTTGTTACCAAGTCAACCCTGAGAACAGTACATTAACAAGCTATAAGATACAATATCTATGATGGGTATGATCATATAGACAGATATGTTACTGTCCACTGTATGGTGAGGTGTGTTACTATCCACTGTATGGTGAGGTGTGTTACTGTCCACTGTATGGTGAGGTGTGTTACTGTCCACTGTATGAAGAGGTGTGTTACTATACACTGTATGGTGAGATGTGTTACTGTCCACTGTATGGTGAGGTGTGTTACTGTCCGCTGTATGTTGAGGTGTGTTACTGTCCACTGTATGGTGAGGTGTGTTACTGTCCACCGTATGAAGAAGTGTGTTACTATACACTGTATGGTGAGATGTGTTACTGTCCACTGTATGGTGATGTGTGTTACTATCTACTATATGGTGAGATGTGTTACTGTCCACTGTATGGTGAGGTGTGTTACTATCCACTGCATGGTGAGGTGTGTAACTGTCCACTATATGGTAAGGTGTGTTACTATCTACTGTATGGTGAGATGTGTTACTGTCCACTGTATGGAGTATGTTACTATCTACAGTAGGTTGAGGTGTGTTACTGTCCACTGTATGGTGAGGTGTGTTACTATCCACTATAAGGTGAGGTGTGATACTGTCCAGTGTATGGTGGAGTGTGTTACTATCTACTGTATGGTAAGGTGTGTTACTATCTACTATATGGTGAGGTGTGTTCCTGTCCACTGTATAGTGGAGTGTGTTACTGTCCAATGTATGGTGAGATGTGTTACTATCCACTGTATGGTGAGGTGTGTTACTATCTACTGTATGGTGAGGTGTGTTACTATCCACTGTATGGTGAGATGTGTTACTATCCATTGTATGGTGAGGTGTGTTACTATCCATTGTATGGTGAGGTGTTTCGGTCCACTGTATGGTGAGGTGTGTTTCGGTCCACTGTATGGTGAGGTGTGTTACTGTCCACTGTATGGTGAGGTGTGTTACTGTCCACTGTATGGTGAGGTGTGTTACTATCTACTGTATGGTGAGGTGTGTTACTGTCCACTGTATGGTAAGGTGTGTTACTATACACTGTATGGTGAGATGTGTTACTGTCCACTGTACGGTGAGGTGTGTTACTGTCCACTGTATGGTGAGGTGTGTTACTATCTACTGTATGGTGAGGTGTGTTACTGTCCACTGTACGGTGAGGTGTGTTACTGTCCACTGTATGGTGAGGTGTGTTACTATCTACTGTATGGTGAGGTGTGTTACTATCTACTGTACGGTGAGGTGTGTTACTGTCCACTGTATGGTGAAGTGTGTTTCGGTCCACTGTAAGGCGAGATTGTACTATCCACAGTGGTATTTGATTTGCTGAATCCTCTTATCCCTGACAGCTTATTTTGATAGGTACTTCCAAGGCTAAGGTGGACATAACTTTAAATACTTCCAAAACTTATAGATAGGAATTGTAATCAACCAATCAAAAGTGTTATAAAAGACAATCTGTAACAATACCGATAGTTTTATGTTCGCAGTCTGTTCTTACCTGCTTGTGGTGCATGACCACAGCATTGACGTCCAGCTCTGCACCCCCAGAAGCCTTAGACTTCTGGATTTTACCCACAAGCCATTCAATGGCCGCCTGTTTAGCACCTTGTGTGAACTCGATGATGACAAGTGGGTTGAAAGGTCGGTCGGATTTTTGGATGACGTCCACATAACCTGAGTGTCCATTCACCGTCTCCATGGTTATAACTGAAAATAATGCAAATAGGTATATATTCAGGGCATGTCTAAAGTGGTAAACAATGCCATTTTATTAAAGATTTTAGCACAGATTTGGACATAGACAGATTAGTCTAGGAGAGATACTTTTCTGTTGACTTTTGTAAAATGTCTACCATATATCAACCTCATACTTTAGTAAAGGTATAGATGTATTATGCACTTTCATTTGTGCCCGATGAAGATTAAACACAGAATGAGATCGCTATTTAATATACAACATCCTCCTATTCAAAAACTGCTGTTACTTTTATATCAAAGAAAACATGAAGTTAATGTTTTCAATCACAAAATGACTAATGAAAAAAAATAATGATTTAAAGTGATACCAGGAACACTGTTCATTAAATATGATTAATCAAATACAAAGTCTTAATTATAATCAATATAAAAAACTTTTCTAACAACTTTGTAAATAAAAGTTTATGATAAATAGCAAAGTATCTATATTTCATCAAATAACCATTGACGTGTTATTGTCCTATCATATATGATAAACGATCTTGAATGGAATTCCTGACATTCCATCGCAGAGCAATTAAGCTCTGCTAAAAATATATCAACAACGTGCCATGCTGCATTTGTGACTAAGGCCTATATAGCTTTGAGCCTTCAGTACACGTAAACACTGCAAGCAGAGCGTCGTCTGTGAGATCTTAACGAGAGCTTATATCGCTGCGAAAAAAAGAACGACTGTTACAGGAAACACAGTGTCACTGGTTCACCCTCTTCCGTCTGCAGTCCTCCCGTCAAAATCGTTCAGAGGTGTTATTACTTTTTCCGACAGCAATAGAATCGTCCAGCATGAGGGGTGGTCAGGGTGTTTGACAGCGATATGTTTTTGTAAAATAAATACATTTGACGGAGTAAAGACTACCGAATGTATTAATGGGTAATGATTGGATATAATAATAGTTAAATATTAATGAATACAGGTTACAGTAAAGACGTTTAACGTTGACATGTGTTCGACAGGTGAACCTGACGCCCCTTGCCGAATGAGTAACCTTCAAAAGTCGCGATACACACAGGTAAAGCCCTACAGGACAGGTGTGCCCAAATAAAGATGGCCGACGAAACGTAAGCGTCGTCTGTGTCAAAATGCAGTTAAAAAGATGAACTTGGTCCTTTAATCATCCTGGATCTGCCCTAATATTCCATGATAACTTTGACGTTGCACAGGTAAGATAAACTAGAAAGATCGCACAGGGCTTTCAGCTAATTAACGGCAGCACAGGTAGGATTAATTTTGTAAACAACTCGAAAAGAATCAATACTGAAACGAAAGGAATCTTATGAAGACACTAGTTTGGAAAGGATGTTGTCTTTAGATGAATTAGTGGCTATATTACAGATAAAATATATATATATAAAACACACCTAATCTTATTTATCATTACGCACTATGCAACATTACAGTAGCTGTGCACTTATTGCTCATCAGGTAAGTCATACATACATATAGAATGTTTTTAATGACTAGAAATTGGCATAGCCACATTCACTGGATGGATAGCTATGTCATAGTCTACATCAGGAACGTATATTATCATTAAAATATGTCTTGAGCTTCAACAGGGACATATATGTTATGATATATACACATCTAGCTGCATTTGAGGGCAAAGAATCTCAATATCCGTATACTTTGTCTAATTGATAATCCTGTCATGAATTCTTTCTCTCACCTGAGCCTTTCATGTGCGTGATTACATAGTGACTAATACATATATTCTATCATATTAAAGGTGCTCATTCCTTATTCATATTTTTAGACCAATTCAAAATTTTGTTTTAAAAAAAAAGATGAAATGTTAGTATTTTCATTTTAAGATTTTTTTTACAACTGTTGTTCAATAAAACAGTGTATATTGGGAATTGAAGAACAAGTTGTTTATTGGGAATCGAAGAACAACTTGTTTGTTTTAAGTTTATTTTCAATGGATCAATGTTATTCAGTGTGTTTAGTTTATATTCAAAAATTAAATTCCTATATTTTTGGAACTAAAGGTGAGTGGACATCTTGCATCAATGACCCTGACACATCTTGAAAATGAAGTGAAAAGTCACTGATTTTGAAAGCTACCTGCATAAAGGAAACCCAAATTGTTGTTAAGAAATGACTTCTTAACAACATTGATGTAGGGTGTGCAATCACCTTCAGTCCCAAAAATATAGGAATTAAATTTTTAAATGTAGGAATAATACCAAAAATAAAGTTAATTTAAAGGAGCTCTTTGTAAATATTTTGTCTCAATTTTTCGATTTGGAATACATGAATAAAATATAGCACAATATCACATGATGCTGTTGACATTGTTTCTATTCGTAACAAGAACTGTATGCCATTGAAATCTTCATAATTTACTATCCCTTAATATTTCACATTTATTAAATCATCAAGTTTATTTACAAACAACAAAACTGGGTCTTTGCCAAAAAGAAAATGACGAGTCGGTGCATGATGAAATAAATTGCAAAACATGTCACTAGAATTGTGCAATGGGCATAGATTTATGTTTATTTTTATTGCTTTTTCTCCAGGTTATCCCTACTACTTTTTTCTGATGTTCTGTTTGAGGTATGGCTAGACCTTTTGCCACTTCTATCAGATGCTTTACTCTTATATCCTCAATACAGAGTTTTCTTCATCAAACTGGCATTGTCTGCTATGTATTTCCTCCAACTCTTTGTGTGTTTTCATATGAGTAAGCAAGAAAGCCTTTCTGTCCTTAGTTTTTCTCTAATAACACCATCAAGCTTTTCTTTTCCTTCCTTCATCGTATCACTTGCTGATTCTTCCTTTCCTCTCGCCACTTTCTCTGCTTCTGCCATTTTTTTTTCTTTAGCATGTAAGTCCTTTCGCTGCTATACAAACTTTTCCTGTTTCTTTCTAAGCATTTCAGCATCTTTCTCCTGTTGCTTCTGCTTTCCTTTATCAAGAATAAAAATGGTGTGTGTACTTTTCAAAGCCGGTAAAATATCCTTGTTGAAAGGAAGTTGGTTCCAGGCATTTATCTTGGTTAAAACCAGGAGTAGAAAGGCATGCAATTTCATGTCTTTAACTTCAGCCACTGAGCCATTGTGGCTACCAGTGGCCTTAATTATGATAACCAGACATTAACAAACTAACATTATTTGTCACAGAAACAGTTTTAATGTCATGTTGATGACAAGTTTGCATTAGACAACAGTTAACAAATTAAACTCAACAATGTAATAATAGACTGACTGAAAAAAACCCATGTTCTAATATCACAAAAACATGAAAAAGCTGACCAACTATAAATAGAATATTACATACATGTTTGATTTATCTTGGATTGGACTTAAGTATACAGAACTTTGTATGTATTGTAAACTCAACATAAAATCACAAAGTTTTTCTAGGAAATTGACATTCTGTTGATGTCATAAACGTTCCTCTCTCTAGCTTAATTGATATGCAGATGAGAAATTTGAAGATGGTATATCATGTATGGTTATTCTCTTACAGTTGTGGTATATACTGTTACAAATTATCATCAGTGACCAAGCAAATGTGTTACAACTTGCATGAATGAAAATGATATATATATATATAGTGATAAGTTATTTTTATGATGATTTGATGGTGCTGTGATAAGGCATTCACCTTTGACCAAGGCATCCTGGGTTTAATTTTCAGAATGGATGGGAAGAGGGGAAATGGCACCAGATACTCCATTTGCCTTTCAGTAAGATCCCTTACATACTTCTATCCAGGCCAACTAGAATGATCAATTTAAGTTGGAATAACTTGATTTGTAATTGTTGTAAAATGAAAGAAAGATAGTTTCATAAAAAGAATGATAAAATAGGCGATTGCTTGTCAAGAATTTTTAAGAAATCCTGTGTTACTATCATACAGCTAATAGCTATGCATGACCTGTATGAACAAGTAAAAATTACATTTTTTTTTCTGTTTTATTTTCAGTCATATGATCCCTTGCCATGATGGCAATGGGAGTACTACCATGTTCCTTCATCATTGCTATAGTGATCGTGGTGTGCTGGACGGATTTCGTTCTTTCATGTCCATCTTCCTGTAACTGTTTCCAGGATAATTTCGGAACAACTGTTCGATGTCGGAATAGAGCTATCAGCTCAGTGATCTCGGGACTGCCTGTACACACCAAACGTCTGGAAATTCTTGCTGCCCAGGGTGTATCCAGCCTGTCACAGACCACCTTTGATGGTGGCAACATTGGGACTGTTAATTCACTGTTGATACAGGACAGCAGAATACAGAGTATTGGTGATAACACTTTTTCCAAGTTCACCAGTCTGAACACCCTCAATCTTACCCATAATAGTATCAGATCAATCACTAAGAATGCTTTTGCTGGACTCGTCAAGCTCGAAACACTTGATCTCTCGTCAAATGATATGCAACAGATAGAAGAGGAGTTTGTTCCATTGATACAACTTCAGCATCTTGATTTGAGCTCCAATTCTATAACCAGTATCCAGAACGGTGCCTTTAACGCTCAGGTGATACTTCGATTTCTCAGACTTGATTCAAACAAATTACAAACAATTCATGGTCACACATTTCAGGGCCTGATAAACCTTCGTACACTGAAGATACGAAACTGTGGCTTACATTCATTGGCCACTGACCTATTTAATATCATTCGCCACCTGCAGACCCTAGACATTGGTGACAATCTCATTTATCAGTTGCCTTCCACGGAGACCTTTCAACATATCCCAGCTGCATTACAGCACTTTATTGCGGACGGCAACCAAATATCTGCTCTTGTCAGACATCAGTTCTCGCGATTGAACCTAAATACTCTTGATTTATCTCGTAATAGGATCAATTTTCTATCTCATGCATCTTTTGCTGAGTGTAATGTGCGAAACTTATACCTATCATCTAATTCAATAACTAGCATTGAAGAAAATGCATTGGCTTCTTTAGCGCCTCAGCTGGAGAGATTGGTTCTATCTAAGAACCCGTTACGTTCCATACCGCTTCACGTGTTTGATGGTCTGTACAGGCTAATATACCTAAATTTAAGTACATGTTCTCTCAGTAAGCTGGAAGATTTACAATTCCAGTCATTACAGAGTTTGCGAAGCTTAGATTTGTCTATAAATTCTTTACAGTATATACCCAAAGTAGCAGTTGATAAATTTGAAAATCTTCAAGAGCTTGGACTTTATGGCAATCAGTGGCACTGCGATTGCCACATTAGACCTTTATGGAACTGGTTACAGGGGTTTGTTCATGGAATTTTATTGTGCCCTACAGGGCAAAATATAGCAATATATAGTAACTGTAAGACACCATTGTGTGGTTCACCAGCCAATGTGAGGAATTCACCTGTAGCCTCATTGTCTGAAGGAAGTATTCAGGCGTGTCAAGTAATGGGAGACGAAGAGACAATGTCTGTTGGAACAATCATTGGCCTTACTCTAGGCAGCATGGCTGTCATAATTTTATTTGCAATCTTAGTTATTTGTATCTGTCGTCATCGACATGGTCGTCCTTTACCTACCATATGCAGAGCCAACTCAACTGCGAGTAGTCACAAGGAAGACCGGGAGAAGTCCACCACACCATTCAAGGATGTAGACATGGGCTCTTTGAATGAGTCTGATAAAGATTTTGTGGTGAAGCGCTACTTTCGCTCAATGGAGAACCAACCCACAAGTGTGGCGTCCTACCGTGGGACTCCATCCTTGTCACACAAGGAATTTGATTTTAATGGTTCATGTCCTTCAATTCACAGTGTAAACAGTGTGTTCAATGGGCCAATAGGATACGAGTCTACTGTATGACATATAATGTCCTACTTACATCTGCCAACATCTATTATCTTTTAAAAAGGACATCATTCCTTTAAATTTCATATTGAATCTAAATTGTATCTGGTGTATACTATCACATCAGGGAGGGCCCTGCATTGTGCCAGAATATAAAACTGAGTTACATTGATACTGAATTTTTGTTTACTGCTTTTTTGGCACAAAAACTTGCCTGTGAATATGAACATTTCAAATATGACTGTATTCTTTGACCTGGTGACCTTGACCTGAGTCACATTCTTATTTTGATTTTAACCAATGCTTCATTACTTCAAAACATAATTCAAATTTGACTTCACCCATTGACCTAAGGTATGTCAGGGAAATATTTCAATGTTGACCTTGACCTTTGACCTAATGACCTGTAGTTGGATGACCTCTCATTTGATTTCAGTCAATAAGTTTTCAGTAACATTCTGATATGCATTTTGAGACATACTCCCATTTCAATTTGTAATAATGATGACCTTGATATTTCTTGTGAAGAAGCAACATAGTATATTGAAGTGTAATCATTGAAACAGAACTGAAGATATCTTGCAGAAACTGGTTTTATATTTATAGTAACAGTGACCTTGACCTTTGACTTCAGAATCTGAATATTCCTCCCACTGCAAGTACTTCCTTTGATGAACCACTGGGTCAAGTACAAGTGCAATTGGCCTAACTAAACATGAAAGAGAGAGAGATGAACAGATGTCCTGATTACAACAGAACATAACATCTTTGACTTGGGGCCAAAAGAATTTCCTATTCCCAGCACACTGAAAATTCATCTATTTTCTATACTAGATTTGATAGATATAGAGTTACATAAATTGTAGTGCCTGGCACCAACGATAACTGTACAGCCTTGTTTTTGAAAGTTGGTTACGTGTTGCTCTTTTTTTTTTTTTTTTGACCTACATGCATTAGCTACCACTTTAGCATTAAAACTGTTTATTTCATAAACCAGAACTGCTGACAAACTGTCAATTTTACACAAACCGTAACAGTACTCATGACAGTGGTTAAACCAGAACCGCTGACAAACTGTCAATTTTACACAAACCGTAACATTACTCATGACAGTGGTTAAACCAGAAACGCTGACAAACTTTCAATTCTACCATTACAACACTTACGACACTGGTTAAATGACCTTGCCATTCTAAGCTTGATCTTGCCATTTTAAGCTATTGTGGTTCACTGAACAAGTCACTGACAGACATGAAGTGGGTACAAAATGAGAAAACTTAATCCATAAAACTTTTCGGCATTCAAGAAATGTTTACTTGGCTGATCTTTAATCTAAACATTTGCTTCAACTACAATAACAATAAAAAGTCACTGTAGGTTTGACCTGTACCGAGAAGGAGCTGATTCTCGTCTGAATTGTGATATTTTTCTCTAAAGCATAATAAATCAAAATCCATATTTATCTGTTGTAGCGTGGGTGTACAGTGTAGAAGGAAAGAACAAATACACACTTGCACCAATTATTAAACAATGTTTGTACAGTCAGAAGTTGACTGATTGGTAAATACTATTCCTGTTTGAATTATTATCAAATAGAATTGTTTTTATATACATATAAGAAAGCAAAAACGTTGTAACATGTTTAAAAAAAATAAACATGCATTGCAGTTAAGATCAGTTTCCTAAATCTTTATTTTTTGTTGTCCTTTAATAAGCCCACCCCCCACTTTCAGGGAGCTGCATGTGTTTGACACAATCAACCCTATTGCTGGATAAGTCTGCACTTACATAACAAAAATTTAAAGCTTATGATGTGTACATTGAATTTAGAAGTTGGTGTCTGGACACTTGTATATATAAATCTTAACAAGACTGGGCATGCATTGTTGACATTTGAAACATGGGGTAAAGTATGTGTTACATGTACATTTTAATAGTTTGTCAAGTTTTTTTTTCCAAACATGTATAAAATGGGTAATTAAGATGTGTTGTTATACGCAGTTTGATCAATTCATTTATTCAAAAGATCATACTTTTTTAACACTCGTGTTATCTTTCATGGGATTTGACGTTAATCTACATGGGATGTGACCCTGATATTCTAAGTACACTGAATTATTGGACCATCGTACAATTAAGCATCCTGCCTTATATTGTGTACAATTCATAGTAAATTAGTTTTTTACAGAAATATCATGCTGATACATGTCTCTCATGCTTACTTACATGTGATGGTACTTTGTACTTATTTTCAAACAAAAATGATGATTTATCACTTACAAATACTTTGTAAATGATGTTTGATTAATTATTGATATCACATTGTAAATGTCACTTTCATGCTAATTTCACAGATTATTTCCTCAAAAATTGCTTGTGTATGTCCTGAATTGTAATGACAGCTTTAACACCAAATCTTGAAGCATACTATTGTTTTTTTAATTTGAAGTCAAGTAAAAGATAATGAAATATAGATTTTCATGTATGATGTAAATGCTGTGTGCATGGTAATGTAATTGATTTAGTAAGCGTGAAAGTTTACCTCAATCTGAAATTTCTAGTGCCTTGTTTACATTAATCTTTTTATCATGCATTTAACTTGCATTCATGTACATACTACAGTGAAAGCATATATAGATATGTCGAAAGCCTGTCTTGTTGATTACATGTTCTGACTTTCATGTAGCATTTTCATATGGATAGATATGGCATCCCATCATCGTTGTCCCCAAAACACCTGATGACAATTATATTTTTGTCAAACCTTCAACTTAAATTCAATAGCTAATTTTCTGTTTCTGTGACAAAATGTTTTTGTTAAAAAAATCTCCATGTTGAGATCCTTTATGATTGACACTTAATCTCTTAAAAAAAACTACAGTATACGACATGCATCACTTTGATAATTTTTCCGTTGGACACGGATCAATTATTATTCTCATTTCACTTGATGCTTGTATAAAAAGCAAGTATGTGCACATTATAAACTTCTTTACCAATGTCATATCTATAACATAATAGCTGAAATGTTACATATACTGAAACAGGAGAAGCAATATGAAATACTTTGATCAAAAAAAGGGTATTTTGGATGGAGACTGCTTGATAACTAAACATTAAAAACATTTTCTCCGTAGAGTACTCTGTAATACGAGAACATGATATTTCAATTATCCAAGATTATATATTAAAGCTGATGTTTATAACATTCACAAAGTAACTAATTAATCAGTATCTATAACACAAATATTTCTGGTGTATCAGATAGTTTTATTTTAACATCAGATACATATTTTTACATATCAATTAGCTAAAATATGTTAACTAGAACAAGACAGTTATATTGCAACTTTTAGAGAAGAAAATTATTTCAAATATCTATAATGCAATTGAGGAATAATGCTTTAGACATCATGCCTGTGATTTTGAGTGAGAATGATCTCCCTTTGTGATTCTGAGTCAGAATTATCTTCCTTAAAATATATTTGGTAACATTGTTGTCCTCTAAAAATATTCAATTATCCTCCAATAGAAATTTCATTATTTCATGAAATTGAATCCTCACACTATTCTACTGTAATAGAATTCTTAAATATTAGACACAAAACATCAAACTTCCTGTTAATATATTTACAATTATTGAAAAAACCGCTTGGTTTTTAGTACAAACCAGTTTTTTTTTTTTTTTTTTTATTAAATCCCGTTATTTACTAACAATTTCACTTATACATGTATCACTAACCTAAAGGAAATTTACAATGTTAAAAAAATTCCAATGAAGCACATGTACATTGCAATAAAAAAATCATTCAACTTCAGCAATGCTTTCCAAGGAAGAAAACTAGTAGAATTTCCTTTTAATAAAGGAACTGTTGTGAAACAGGTGCATATTTTTTGTTTCACTACCATGTAGACTGGTGTTTGTTTTATTGTTCGCCTGCTCTTATAATACTCAAGAGAATGTGTGTTGTCCCTCATTTTACATATGGTTATAGTATTATGTCATTTCAATTTTTTTGTTTCCATGTTAAATTCACCTGAACTCCATGATGTTTGGTGCATACTGATGTTTCAATCTTATCTTAAATGCAATTGTTATACCATTAATATAATTGATATCATTCATATTTGTTATATGTCCAATATATGTTTCAAGATATCTGACAGGTTCTGGAAGTAGTGGTAGTTATTAAACATCTAATGGTAATTCAGGGTTTTCCATAATTTTGTTAGTAGTAGGCTGTGTAGTGAAAGTAGGAGACTGGCCTGCCGTGTAGGTGTAGTCGTGTACGGAACATTATTAAGGAACTGGATTGGTGTAGGCGGCCAAACGATCAAAGTAGCTGTTCAAATTTGCTGGCGACCGGCTCTTATAGAAAACCCTGTAATTATAGACGATTTCTGTGTTTATGTATAAAACAAGCAAACTTTTTTGGGGACTTTCGTGTGATTTCATTAAATGGGTATATATATTTTCCTGTGGTAACAGGTTAGAAATTATACAGATTAAAAACTAAGCAACAGTTAAAAATATTTTTTGACAAAGTCACTATAACATGAGTTAGAAGTAAAGTAATGCTGATCTAGTTATATAATCTGACTTATTTAGACTGATCCTCTTATACCCTATACTTGTAAAGCTTACACTAACAGGAAGTATTTTTCATACTTTACTTTATTACTGGTAACTGCTAACATATATGTGCGACAGTCTTAATATCATACACGAAACGGAAATCTTGCACGCTAACTAGTGTGGCAGCTAGATTTTTTGTTTCATCTGATGTTTTATGTGACATTTGGTGCAAAATGATGCCATATTAGTATCCAATTGTTTTTCTGGTGAATTTCCTAAAGGGAGCTTATGGAGTAAAAAGGATGCATATGGATAGGAAATTTGTTGAAATGTTTTACTCTGAGGGAGCTTATAGAGTAAAAAGGATGCATTTGGAAAGGAAATTTGTTGAAATGTTTTTATTTTGACACAATTATGTATGAGAAAAAGAACATCATACCTAGACTTATTTCAGTCTTGGGCTAGTGTTCTGTAATATCTCATTCTGTGCTTTGCCTCCAATGAGATTCTGCTACATTATGTCAGCCCACAACTAAAAGGAATTGATGAAATTAATCATGAACAGATTTAATCCTGATATCAGGTTTGGTGTTCCTGGAAGGTCTGATATGACAGAGGACGAAATCTTCCCTATTGGTCCTCACAGTGACATCATAAGATTTAGCTTCTGTCACATACCTATAGCGACTTATAAGGATGTTCCCTCTGGAGAAGTGAATAATCAATGGCCCTATATAGAGAATATAACCTCACTTAGGTTAAAATAGGATTTTCAACCCCTTTATTTTCTTCTGGAAAACAATTACCTGTTAGATGAATAATTTATATTGGGACATGTCAGTATTTTATTTAAATATTTATAGAACCTATTGAATATCACACAGAATACACCACGTACACAACCAAGTGAAGCATGCAAATGACAATTATTTTGCTTCTTGTCATTAGATGTGTTAGTTGTAAGATATTATGTGATAGATTTAGAATATCACAAAGCTCGCCATATATTGGTGGAATGAGTTATAGATTTGTATATGTATTTTGTAAGGGAAAATAAAGAAGTTTTACACATATCATGTTTTTGTGTTTTTTATTAAATCTGAAGGCAAACCTTTAAGGGACATTTTGCTCAAGTTGCAAAAATTTCTGACTTTTTATGAACTCCTTCTAATAACTATAGAAACTATTGTTGATATCAAAATATCTTTCCTGTGGTCAGTTTGGACCGGCGAAATGGGTGGGAATACTCCCAGCCAAATTGTCTTAATAGCACACTTTGGGAAATCCAGAAATGAAAGGTCACTGGATCATAGATTTTATTCAGAGTATTGGGTAAATACATAAGTGTGTATGCTGGTCACTAAAATTTCTGCTGGGTTATAATTTTAATATTTTCTGTTGATTTCATAATTCGGCTTATAACAACACAAACAAATTAGGAGACAATCAGGGTCGTGTGAATGTTTGTATATCAATCTAGCTAGATCTATAAAGCATTTTTGCATATTAAAAACAGGTTTGTTTAAATGGTTATTTAAGGTGTTACGATTTCCATAAAAACAGAATTATATTCTTAACAAAGAAAATAGAAAAGGAAAAGAAGGGCGTCATTATGGTGACATTCCCCTTATAGAGATATTTATGTGTAGAAAACATTAAATGATGTTGAATATCTGACCCATCAGCCCCTGGGAGCCAGTCAGGATCAATATGGGTATACCGTCAAGCCAGCATTCTTCGCTCTAACCAAATTTGAAATGTTTCCAATGGAAATTAAACAAATTATGATCAAAAATCTGTTTTCCCTATATAACCTATAGTAAACTTTACCCCCTCCCCACAGGGAGATGTGAGACTCCTGAGGCCATGAAATTCACATTTTGGTAAAGCACCTTAAGAATATTCCATCCATGAAAAGCATTTGATCCTATCATATCTGGGTGTTGAGAAGAAGACTTTTGAAATTTGAGTCCGCCTTTCAGGAGCCTGAGGGGTGGGTCCAAAAGGTATACTCAGGCCCCTGAAAGGTGAGGACCATATAATTCACTATTTTGGTTCATCTTGGGCCAGGGAAGGTTTCGGCAAAACATCACTGAAATCAGTTCAGGGTATTTTTTAGAAAAAATTGAAAATGTTAAAAGATTGTTTACAGAGGTATGACACACGATGCGTGACAGGGGATAATGGAATCGCAGTGGGTCAATTATAACTACTTGTGCTCTGAAAGTAAGCACATGAGAAAAGTCATTTTAGTACATGATACTCTTTCTTTCAGTAATCCTAAGATGTTTAATGTGAGTATTGACTGTAAATGACAAGAATGTATGAAGATGGTGTCAGGACATCAAGAAAGATGGGTGTTTTTTTTTCAAAGTTGGTCCCACACTATTCAATTCTAATAAACAAGGTAACTGAAACCCAGCTGTTTTTTTTGAAAGATAAAATCATAACCCACTGTATATTGACATATCATTTACATATGAATTAGGTTTAATACTCCAGTATATCTTTCTACATATGTAAACTAAATTATTCAGTCTCTCTCAAATTTCATCATTTTAAAATTAATATAAAGACCTGAATTTTATATTTTGCATAATTTGTGAAGAGTTTCTGTCATATCGAACTGCCCTTATCTGTCATGTTTATCACAGAGTGTTTATACTTTAAAAGGTGTTGATATTTATCAATCCCATATTTCATTACTTTCTTACTTAAATATTCTATTAAAAATCTCAATATATTCAAATGCTCATATGTTTGTAAAAATTGAAAGCAATTAAATGTACATGCCTGTTTGCTCCCTGCTGTAATCCAGCACTCACATCAACTGGAAAGAAAAAATATATAGAATGAATTAGTCAGCAACATGTGTTTAGATAAATACAGCTAGATATGTATACCAGAATAAAAACAATTTTCTAAGAAAGCTATGAAATACATCTTTACCAGTAACATGTCTTTAAGTAGAAATGTGTACCAAAAGCATTTGTCTCCCATTTTGTTATGAACACATTTCTGTTCATTACGAAGTATTCTTATGTAAAAAGATAAATAACAAGACAATTGACCCATTATTCTGAACTTTATTAGTATACCATGACTTAATAACTCCATCTTTGATCCATCACATCAATAAAACTATGTACCAGTTTAGAAATAGAATAATTACCTGGACTGTGACCTCTGACCTTGGATCATGCTTTTATTCATTTCATTCAATTTAACTTTGCTTCATATTGTCATATATAACAAAACACATATCAGTAAAAAGACTTAAAATTTGACCTTGACCTTGACTACTAGTCAATTAATTTTGATCAACTTCATTATTTTATAGCAAAATGTAAATGTGTGTACTAATAATAGATTTGACCTTGACTTTGATCCCCTACATAGTACTGGAGGATGTTCGCTTTCAGTCAATTAAAAGAGCTTCGTAATATGGTAACAACAAAATAATAAATATTCCACAGAATTCTACTTTAGTTACCAGGTAACACAACCATTTACTTAAGATTATTCTGACTACAGTGAAAGTAAAATTTTAGCATGATGTTTTCACTGATTCAAACATTATAGAACAAGAGTGCCGTGGACACAATATACACCGCCACAAAATATAAAGATCAAGAATCGCCATTTCCAGCACATAAATCCATTGTGGTAGTGATACTGAGCAAGTTTCATGAAAATCTGATCATTAGTTTAGGAGGAGTTGCGTTAACAAAGGTCCACTAAAAGCAAGCTACAAAGTTGAAAATGGCATAAATCTTACAAAAATTAAAGAACCAAAAAATCGCCCCTTCATGCACATCTACCCATTGTAGTAGTGACATCGAGCAAGTTCGTGAAAATCTGATGATTAGTTTAGGAGGAGTTGCGTTCACAAGAAATGGACGTACGAACAGACGGACGGAGAAGATGACACCAATATATGTTACCTCTGGATTTACAATTTCTTATTTCTTCTAGATATCTTATACAGTTATAAAACTATCACTCTAATGAGAATGTATTGAAAATTTGACACTTACCTGACAGGTAACACTGACTTAATTTCGGTACATTGCTTATCACTGTTTTTAGGTGATATGATAATGTTTCATGTATCAAACATCTCTGATGGTTCAAAATCCATGGTCTGAACCCAAATTACGGGACCATTTGATCTAGCAATGAAGGTCACAGTGACCTACTGTGTGTAATGCTCACTACCTGTAGGTGAAGCAGTTATATCTCTTGTTTCATAAGGTTGTCTTAAATTTCCATACAAAGTGTTATAGCTCAGATAAGGTTTTATTACTGGCAAAAACATCTTAATCTTGTTGTATTGCACCTTAATCAGTGGTCTCCATCTGACTGAAGCAATGTGAGCCAAACAGAGTCAATGAGAAAAAGCATTATGAATTATCATTATTTCTTATAAAAGCAATAACATTATTCCTTATTGTAACAATTTAAACCAAAAGTAAATTTTTTGGAGACTGACAGAAATGGTAGATTTACGACAATTCTATACAGATATTCCTCATAGTAGCAGCCATCACAAAATGCTATCTAAGTAAAATTGTTTGGGAAAAACGTATAAGTCAGTAGTAAAGAAATTGTCCTTTCATCGACGTATGAGTTATTATTACTATTTACAGTTTTAAATGACATAAAGTATTGCTTGAATGCCGACCTTTGCAGGGTCGCTAAAATTTGGCGTTTTTATATAGGGATGAATTCTGACTACCGTCCGAAAAAAAGACAACAATAAAATCGCAGATAGTCAGAATCCGTCGGAATACTGTGTTGTGTCTTGATTGTAAACTTCCAAACTTCCATGGACATCGTCTACCATTTTGACAACAACCAAAACAAACAAAAATAACAAAAAGCACCAAAAACAAACAAAAACAAAAATGTCAATAGAAAACACTACATCCTTGGAACAATAATGCGACATTCAACTGAACACTGCAAAGCAGTTTCCAGTTGTCAACAAAAGTGCCACGCCCATTTGTAACTGTACAAAAGTAATTTTTCTACCGTATACATTCCTTAAATACCACAATGATTGATGTGTCAATACCAGTGTATTTTCTTTGAATTGCTAGATCTATGTAATGTTGACTTGCTTGGACCAAAATTTCAATGAAACGTTTTCCATTCTTACCTGTCATAGGAAAAACTTAATTTTACATGGGCGCTGCCATGTTGTTTTCCGCACTGAATCGATCGCTAAAAAGTAAAACGTTTGCCATTAAATATGTCAATCATAAAAGCATTTAAAGTGATAAATTTTGACGGTTACGATACTTACTCTTCTTAGATAATATTAAAGGAAAACTTCCAAAGAAACTTTTTTCCTATTATTTTACTTTTCATTCGGAAATCATTGAAAATGAGACGAGTTCCGAACGTTCCGAACAGCAAATTTTTACTAACATCAACAACAATTTCTGCTTGCAGATCTCTCCTTACAACACCCTATGTACACATTTCAAGATGATTGGGCATGCTGTGAAAAGGCTCATACGGTAATGGTTATATGTGGCCAGTGTAATTAAACGGAGAAGATGACATAATGACAACCGTGTAACACGTTCTGCACCACCGTTGTTTGAACTAGCACAAATTATACCATAACAGTTAGGCCATCCTACTGTAGGACAACTGTGCATGATATGGTATTTAATTAAATCGAATAAACAAATGGCAACAATTCTTAACATTTATTTATAATTGATTAGACAACAGAAGCTAACCAAATATTTATTACCTTCAAAAAGACATATTTTCTTTAATGACTTCAGGTCATCTTGAAATCTTTTAAATGAATTGAAATAATGATCAGGTTGGGGAAAGACACAAAATTGCTCGTAATATGCTAACTGGACTATGATTTCATTGCCACTTTAGTTCCAGAATCATTTCTCGCTAGCAACTCTATGTCAATGAATTGTTGCCAACAAAGCAATACGGTACATAAATTGATAGAAATGTGTTAATACTGGAAGATTTATTGAAAAAATCCAGATACAATCTTAAATTCACTCAACTGAAATGACCACCGGATGCATCTGAAATGTAACTACACTTCCATTTCTGATGACATTACTCATTACAGAGACACTGACTTGACTCGAGTTAGCTTGCAGTGACTCAAAATTACACATGTATTAAATCAAATCAAATCATCATTTGAACATTAATGACATTTCAATGTTTCAGTGTTTACTAACATCAGTTTTAAGCTGATAATCTCTATCATTTTCTCTCAGAGAGTGTTATAATTTTGTGACGAGTCTAAGTTTTAGTATTACAATGCTTGCTTGAAATCAAATGCATGGGAAAAATAACAAGATCTAACTATTTTAATCCCTTTAAGAAACAACATTTTACCATTTGTTCTTTGTTATGTTGAATATCTCAACGAAGAAACCATAGAGTACAAATAAACTGGTATATACATCCTGAACTTCAATGTCAGTGGGGAACTGCCATATTCAGAATGGTCTTGTTTTTAATTGTTATTACTATATAATCATGAAAAAATTGATATTTTGTCATACTCATGAAAAAGTATCATATGGTATTCATTGGCAAGCCATATTCTCTATGTAAAATAATATCTCATGGAAATGGATGGTACCAGTGTTAGAAAAATATAATCTTAGATTAGTTTCTATATTTTTATAGAAATATTGATGTTGTTACAGATATTGCATTTACCATTGACTCCAGACTGATCAGAATAATTCAGACTAATATTGCGCTACAGAGGTTAATATTTGGTTTTTCTGTATGCAGTGTTACTTTAGAAAGTAAACTTTCGTCATGGTTTCCTACATACTTTGTTTACAGTTCATGTATTTGTAATTTGTTTTTGTACGTTTAGTGGTAATTTATGCAAGCTTGTGTTATATTTATAAATTTCTATTTAACTTTACAGATCATATCCATCACTCAACATGAAGATCAATGTAACAAATAACGGCAAAAACATGTTGGTTGTATTACCTGGACTCAGATTTGATGATATTGATCACACAGGTAAATATCTTCAAAGCTAACATAAACAAAAGATATGTTCGATGTCATCAAAATAACCCAAGGTAATATGTCTGTCTTAGATTAATTTTTAAAGTTAGAATATCAGTGAGATTTTACCATCATGTGTCTCATTTTGGCATACCCTTATGATGGCATGCAGTTGCCTCATTAAAAGTTTGTATACTGCATTGCTTAGGAATGACAATTTGAAATATATAAGTTCTCGAAATGCATTTTGGGGACTTACTGTTTTTACCAGGATTCTTATTATTATCAGTCTTCTTTCACCTCCTGCATATCGCCTGTAAGGTTTCAGAAATGTTTTCTCCAAAACTTTGTTAGATTTTCACCACACTTTAAGAGATATGTGCTGATGGCCTCTAAATGTGCTAATATATTCCTAATTTGGCAAGATGGACACCTTCTGGCTTCTGATTGGCTAATACTTTTTCATCTATAACTTAATCACATTGAGGTGACAATTTGTTGAAACTATAGGAAAATGGGTGATAGGTGGCTATCTTTGATTTGATAGTGTAAGATTGTTGTCGCTACTTACATGATTAAAAGCTCTAACAGAAGAAAGAATTAAAACCATGGAACAAGATCCAGGTATTAAAAACAAATAAGATCAAATTAAAGTGGATGCTGTGATCCCTTCCAGTTCTGATATATAAAAACACATTTTTCATGAAAATAAAGTGCATGCCCAGTTAGGGGTTTGCTGTAAGCTCTTTTTAACTTATAAAATATTTATATAAATGTGAATAATACTTTACATTTTTGAGTTCATGACTAATTTGACATTGTTTTTATGTACAGGACAACCTGACATTTGGCGAGTGTTTGAAATGATCAACCGAGTGGAGCATGCAGGTTTCTATAACAGTTCACCGTTCCTTGATTATACGAGTCTCAACAAACAGAACTTCAGTTCCATAGTGAAGGCATGTTCATTTGAAGTGAAAAAAGACTTCTATGAAACAATAACTCCAAAAGCACCACTTGATATTACTGTCAACCTAGCTCACATTGGCAGGACAACATTTACCACAGTGTGTGAGATGTCATGTGGGGGGAAAATGAAGCCCTCGGTGAGGATTAAAAACATGCACACACTTGTGAATATCGCTCGAGATGAAGTGGCTGATATTCCAGATTGGTGGCGCAACAGATTCAGCTCAAATGACATGGACAATATTGAACCCCACATCCTCAACATAACACCCTCACAGAAGCCTGAAACTGCCTTCCTCCACCCTTTTGCTGTACCTCTCAGTGACACAGACATCGCCCAGCGTACGCGTTGCTCCTCCTATGTACGCTACTTCTTTGAGGTGGCTAGTATTGCATCGTACCGTGAACACTTTCGTCATATTAAAAACTTTAATGAGTTTCACATCAAAAGTATGCAAATGTTGTACTTTGGCTCCACATGTTGGGGAGATGCATTAACATCAGCATGCTGGGAGGATAAACACCCTCTCATCCTGCACTGTAATGTGAACAAGACAGGAAAGCCTGTGTGGTATGCCAATGTAGAACTCTACTCTGAAGTATTTGGATGTTGACAAAGACTCTGCTAAAGCAGGTATTCTTTCATGATGTTTTTAGATATTTGATGAACTGATATTACTAGACTTTTTTTTGAAAAATGAAGATATGTATGAAATTATATGATATCAATCCTATACCAGTATATAGAATTATATTGATGGTGTTTGTTGATGGAAACAACACACAGATTTTGGTACAATATATATCATATACCTATTATGTTCTAAAAAATTGGGGTGCTTGAAATTTTATATGGATTTGCAGAAAAATTTAGTGATGCATTTTTAACCACAACACCGAATAATTTTGTAACCTTTGCAAACTAGATTTTTAATGACATCCTAAATATTTTATTTTTACTTGTTCATAAACTTATTGTGTCCAGTATTGTAATATATAAAAGCAACATCAGTCCAAATTTGACTACATTTCTCTTGGGTTTTTAGCTCACATGGTCCAAAATGCTTAGTGAGCTTTTGCAGTGGTGCAACGTCTGTCTGTCCAGCTTCAACTTTTCCATTTAAACAACTTAGAATCAGGGTGTTTCAGTAGAAGATACCTGGAGTGAAGCTGACAAAGTTTGTGAAAAAAATGACCTTGCTCATATTCAAGGTCATAGGATCAAAATTGAAACCTTCGAATGCCACTTTCTCAATAACCAAAAGGCCTACAAACAGAATATTTGGTTGGAATGTTGCTGAGATTAAGCCCTTCAATCAATGATAAAGGAAATGACATTTTCCTCTGTTGATGGTCACAAGCGACAAATTTGTTCACATGATTTCTCTTGGCTAACGAAATAATCTTGAACCATATTCAAGGATATGAGTGTCAGATTTGTTAAATCCTTCATGATATTTTCGCTGATTGGTTCCTAAAATGACGCCCATCAGAGTTTCATGAAGAAAATAACCTTGACCCATATGCAAGGCTATAGGATTCAAATTTGTTACAACCTTCAAATATTTTCTCATTAATTAGGACTTAGAATGTTGACAATGTAAAATGTTGATGCAGTTAAAAGTGAGAAACATCATAAATGAAAACCAGGTGAGCAATGCAGGTTCATTTTCCTCTTGTTAGTACTGAATGTATAAGAAGTACTAAAAATGTAATTGTATATGCTGAATGAGGTTTTGTAATGGTTCTCCTAAGTCATGTTACAAGTATTAGATGCATGTGTTATGGAAACTGTGTATTTTCTGGTATGATAATTATGTAGCCCAAATGTCTACAGTGACATTTACCAATCATTTTATCTAGTCTCATTGATTTGCCACAAAAGATATTTTACCAGTATTTTCTGGATATTAAGCAAAGATGGCCATGTAAATGCTTGTATATACATGTATTACGGGTGTGCAGGTTTATTGATTATTAACATATCATATGTTTTTTATGTTTGTTTTACTTCTAATTTTACAGTTATAATTCAGTTCTTCAAAAACAATTCATTATCTCATAGATTCTTTGAATCTATTGTGTTTTTTATTTTGTTTATTTTTACTATGCCATCTGCAGTATTTTTAATCAGCTCTTTTCCACTTCTTAAGTAAATGAAGGAAGCTTTCCTTAAAGTATCAGTAGAATCTCAATATGGCCTGCTTCTTTTTAATGAACCTGCTATTTAAGGGCATGTCCCAGGCCAAGTGCTGTACCACCTACATTGACAGTAAGGCTTCCTTTTACATTATTCTTTGTGTTTGCTACTGACTATAACACGATCGTTCAGTATTATGGAATTATTTACCTATATTTAATGGTTCAAATGGTCTGTTTATGAATATTTTTCATATTTGTTCCAATGTGAAATTTCAGAGCTTGTTATCACATCATGAGGGAGAGGATTTAGGGATGTTTCCATACTTAATATGTGTACATAGTTACATACATAACATTTATCCTTGTCAGTGACTTCATTCTTTGAGGGATTTTATTCAAACTTCACACAAGATCAAATCAATATCTAGAAGAGCTATCTTGGACAATGATAATGTTAATTTGTTATTGGTATTTCTTGAAGTGCTACCTTTCTTTATTGATGTTACTATGGTAATGTCAATAAGTGATAATACATAATTAAGATCAAATAAAAGAAAGGAGGGAAAAATAATCAAATTATAAAGATTACAATATGGGGAATGCCAAAATTTCTCAGGAATCTCAGAAAGATGAACATCGGAAGATACATAGCATACATCATCAGTAATTAACCTGGAATGTCTATGTTTATGTATATATTGAGCATTGTAAATCATGTAGTAGGATGTGGTGACCATGTAATACTATTGTGACTGAGGTACAAAGGTATGATAAATTATGAGCTTAACACTGATAATATATTATATAGCCAGCTTCTCTGTCTTAATGATGATGTGTGAAGGAGGGATTTTACAGGGGCTTGACTCATTCATAATTAATTTCTTCCAAAATATGCTGTTATTATTCCACTCTCGGACCATTGTGCAAACATCCTGAAGGTTGTTAGGTCACCTGAGATATGTCTTGTGGTGCATGGTGACCTATTCTAATCACTTACATCCAGCAATGTACATCCGTAAACAATGAAATATTTTCAACAAAACCCCTGATCAAATTTCAATGAAATTTTACAGAAAGCTTCTCTTGCCTAAAATGAACTAAAATTGCGAATTGTACAGTCCCTAACACCGAGGGGCCTGAGGGGCAGTGCTAAAAGGGGTCAAATTTACTCGGATTTAAAAAATCTTCTTCTCAAGACCCAGATATGGTAAAATCAAATACTCTTCATGAATGGAAGCATCTTAAGGTGCTTTACTGATATTGTGAATTTCATGGCCTCAGGGTATCACATTTCCCCAGGGGGAGGGGGTAAAGTTTACTATAGTTTATAAAGGAAAACTAGACTTTTGAGCATATTTTGTTTAATTTCCATTGGAAATATTTCAAACTTGGTTAGAATTATTAAGGATGACGGCTTCATGGTATGCCCATTTTGATCCTGACTGACCCTCAGGGGCCTGAGGGGTGGGACCAAAAGGGGTCAAATTGAATTTTTGAGCTAAGCGTTGGTATTTCCCACTGGAAATAACTTTATAAGAATTATCAGTAGAGGATGACAGTTTTGATTTGCATGTATTGACACACGCTTACTATATTCAGTGTCACAATTTCTGTTTCATGACACTTAATAAGCATCCTTTAACCTTTATATTTTAGGGAAAGGGCACTTAAAGGGAGAGCATATAGTCGCAGCTTTGCACCAGAACCATAACTCTCTCTTGAATAATTTAGGAGTTATTGTCCTTTGTTATTTTTCTTACTTAAATTTTGTCTGTGGCATTACACTAAAACTGTAAGAGGTATCAGCATGAAACTTCATTGGTAGATAGATCTCAACAAGGAGAAGGACAGTGTATACAGAAATCATAACTTTCTTATTACCCTTTGTTATTTTTCATACTTAAATCTTGTCCTATTCGGGGAGCTTAACCCGTCTCTTTTAATATAACATTCATTTACTACTAGTGAGTTGTTATAAATTTCCACATATTTCTTGGGGTAGATTACTGTTGCAAAAATAGGTAACACAAACTTTGGTTTTTCTTTCATTCTTGTTAGTTACAGTGCTTTTAAAGTTACCTTTCGAAAAAATAAATTAACTGGAGTGAAAGAAATACATATACAACAACTAACCATTATGTTACCTCTATGTATCCTACCTCTGGTATAAATGGGACAGCTACAGAGGGTAAAATATATAGGGATTTATGTGAACTTTATGAGAATATGGGAATATATTTAAGATATGTTTAGCTGTTGCTATTGTTTTGTTTCATGTGAATTTTGATACAAATAAATTTGGAATTACACAAAAATATTTTCTTATTTGTTAATATCTAATTATTGAAACAGAAAAATTAGATTTGGCAGTCAAGATTAATGATCAAGTGAAAGAAAGGCTGAGGACTAATACCTTATGAAATTAAGTACAATAAAAAATTACATTTTCAGTCAATCAAATCTACAAATGAAATTAGAGAAAGGTCAGTTCAGTTCTTCATGAAATATTTGAAATTGATTTGGACTGAACATGATTTGACAGCTTACCATCTAATGAGGTTAAGTAAAAACCCAAACATTTGTGTTGTCTTTAGAAGGTCACCTATGGTGACCTATTGTGAATGATCTTCATTCATCTTGCATCAAATTTTTCTTGTGAACAAGATTACTTTTTTCTTGTTTGTATGTAAAATGCAGCTTCTCGATTCCTCAATTTGTTCTTTTCTCCACTTCTCAAAAAAAAAAAAATCTAGCTCTGCCTGCTTGATAGTGAAGAGAGGACTTAATGGCAACACGCCATGTTACGTCATGTCTGTTGGAACTTAATCATTTATGAATGGAATATCCATTTACTTTCACTTGGTATGGATGGATAGCTGTCATTCAATGATGTAAACAAAAGAAAAAAATATCTTACAATGTACACAAACAACAAATAAACAAGGAGTCACAAAGTGTGGCATTATCCCTCGCACCCAACCGTTGGTGTGTAAAACCAAAGTATGATATATATATATACACCAGTGATAACAATTTCTGATGTCACTCAATTATGTACCACTATCAGCTGAAGACCTAATACAGTGAAAGCAAAATGTAACATCTTCTTTTGTCAATTATCTATTAAATTTCCTTGCATCTCCTCAAATTCAACATTATAAATACATATATATAGTGTATAGTTTCTATCTTGATGTAGTGTTTATTGATACTTGAGTAGAGCCCGGTATTGTCCATGAACAAATTTAAGACTCTATAAGCTCTCCAGTAATACAAGAAGTCACAAGAAATGGTAACAGAAAAAAGATAAATGATAAAATAAGGAAAGCCACAGCTAGAGCCTTAACCTGATATATGCAGAAAGTTTTGTGGAGTTGAGTGGAATGGTTTCAAAGTCATAGCCCGGAAAGGAAAGTAACCACTAATTTGTGTTTTTTAACTTTGTTTCCATGGTAACAGAAAAATATAAAAAAGGTAATGTTGTAAATAGTAAGAGGCACAACTAGGGCACTAACCTAATATACACAGCAGGTTTTGTGAAGCCGAGTTGAATGCTTTTGAAGTTAAAGCCTGGAAAAGCCCTCAGACAGATGGAGCCTAAATTAATATCCCAGGCAAACATGTTTCACAGGGAGATAATAACAGATTTATCAGGGAACAAATATGTTATTTGATGTTTTTACACATTTGTGTATGGAATGTGAAGGGTCCTCTCATGAATGAGTTTTGAATGACTGAAAATGGCACCAATTATCTGTCAATGATGTGTTATGTCATGCCAGCTGTTATGCATAGTAATTTGTTTTGAAATAATTTGTCATTGAATTATCAAAACTATACATTTATGAGGTATTTTTGTTTATGAAATTAAGAAGGCATCACAAATGATACCTTCGCTCCCATTTATCTTACAGTCATTTATCTTACAGTGTCAAGTTAAATCACACACTAGCAACTTCATCCTCTGATAATTGATATAATTGTGTCTCTATTTTATCAACCCTCACGTAAGCTATTTTCTTGTCAATATAGTACATCCCAGTGGAACAATATGAAATGTCATTAAGAAAATGTAAAGATAATAAATGAAGATATATTGGGCTGGGTAAATTTGCAGAAATACATGAATAAGTTATATCTATATTTCTAATGTGCAAAGATGATTCCTCATTAAGCAATATATTTATAGCTGTAAATAGTAACAGTGACCTTGACCTTGACATTGACCCTGGCAAACCGAAACACCAACTAGGTTAAGGTTTTATGATATTTGACCAATACCGGTAAGTTAAGTTTGATAAAAAATCAGTTGAGAAATGAAGTGGCTAGAGAGATGACAAATATTTTCTTTAAATAGTAACAGCAACCTAACGTTATCGTTGGCATGCTAAAACACAAACACGTTTAAGGTATCATTTTACTTGATTAATACCGGGTATGTGAAATTTGACCAAAATTGGTTGAGAAATTAAGTTGCTACAGTGATGACAAAAATTGAACTTATGTATGTACAAATAGAATGCTATATCCCCTCCCTGGTTGATGCGAGGAGATAATTTCAAACTTTGATATGAATATTTTCTAGTTTCACGCTGATATGAAAGAAAAACCTTTTTTAAAAACTGAATGAATGCACTCCTACCAAAGCTTAAATGACAGAAAATCAAACTGATGAAGTGAATATTTATTCATGAAAATGAAATTCCATTACATATTGAAAACTTCCTGATATCAAACTATTTTTCAACATGTACAGGAATTACTAACACTTGGAGAGAAGCTGATAGCACTTGGAGTGTTAGTAATAGCACATGCTGAATTCACTACATGATTCAGATGCTGTGATGCTGATATCCAGTCTAATCAAGAGGAAATCATGGTCTGAAATCAACTCTGTTATACATCAATGTTCTGGCATTTCTAGTTTTGCAACACTTGGTGTGTCCTTTGTAGTTGTCCTTCTTGGTGGTGAAATGCACTGCTGTTAAGGAATGAGGTTTTTATACAATGCTTTAACTTTCAACCTCTCTCTTTGTCATCATCAAGTCTGATCTACACAACAGCTACTAATCAATTTGTTCCTTTCTTTTGCTTCTTCTTATCTGCTTCTTCCTCTTTTTCACGTTCTATTTCTGTGATGAACTTTTCCACTTCTTCCAATTCTAACATCTGAAATGCAAATGTCAGAGAAGTTCTCACTACAATCTCCCATCAGAGTAAATTTGTGACAATATAGATTTTCCAATTAACCAATTTTCTGTTTTACCTTACAGAAACAGCTTCTAAAAATCCTTCCCTAACATATTAAAGATTCAATACATTAGTTTTTTCCGTTTCAACGTTGAAATCATTCTGCAGTATCCCCGAGATCCTCTAAAGATATTAACTACTGCAAATTACCTACCAGTATATCCCTACAACATATACAACTGCTCCAAAAATGAATAACGTTAAAGGTGTTCTTTGGCTCTAGCTAAATGATCATGGTATTTACCTTGAGAGGTTCATTTTCTTTCATAACAGCCAGCTCTACATTTTTAGCACCAGACTGAACAACTTCCAGCAGGGCTTTTAGAGCTAGTTTGATGCACTCCTCCTGACTTTGGGCCACTTCCTCTGTGTAGTGTTTCTCCAGGAACTCGCGTACAGGTTTGGCACTACGACCTATGGCATTTGCCTAAAACACACACGAATAAATAATAAAGTAATTGTACAATTAAAATGCTCAGTTGAAATTCATCAAAATAACATCAGTTGGTCCACCAGTATTTCATAAACAACTGCATAAAGAGTGGCTATGTATTTAACGTATACAATACAGATTTATTACTTTCTGTTACCTTTATCAATAATAAAACAACATAGAAGAAGAAATAATTAAATAACAGCTAATTATAAACAGTCTCCTTCACTGTTTAGGCAGCTTTTTAACAGTTCTCTGGTCTAAAATGGATCAAAGACATTCAACACAGACTTGCTTATAGCAATTGAAATATGAAATGATATAAAATTCCACATGGTTACCAGTAACAAGATAATTGTTTTATATTTCTTTCCAAAATGTGTTGGGATCATAAAGTCTTGTGGGGTGTAATTTTATTGGCTTTTCAAAAAATAACTTTAATTGACACTTGATATTGTGGATAAATATAGCTCAATGATTCTACTTATATTTGTTTAACACCTTGTGGACATATGAATTGGTGGTTTAAGAGTACCCACAAAAATTATAACTTTTACAGTACATTGTATTTCAGAAATGTTAATACAAACATGTTTTCTTATGTATATTTGTATGGAACACCTCTGGAAAAAAATAATGCAGAAAGAAAGTGTACATTCCTTTGAACTGAATACAATGATACTGTACCTTCCATTCATGGTATGTCCCAGAGGGGTCGGTCTGATACAGGTGAGGAGTTCCATCATAGTCAAAACCAATTATTAGTGCTGACAGTCCAAACGGTCGTCGACCATTACTCTGAGTATATTTCTTTGAAAAGAAAATAAATATAGCTGTAGAAAATTCATGGTTTTTAATTTGCAAACGAAAACATAATGCAATGGACACATTATACTGCTGAAAGTTCAACTCAAGTACTAGTCCGATGGTTTTGACTATCCATCAAAATGTATTTTTTATTCTTTAACTTTCCTGACAAAAATCTGTTGAAGTTGCTAGGTGCTTTCAATGAATTGGGACAGAATGCAAAATGACACGATGGAAAAAACATGGGCATTGCTGTATGCCCCTACATTTCCCTCCATTTTTATGATGAGAGCATAACAAGAGACCCATGGGCCTTAACAGTCATCTGAGGTCTTCTGGTCTTTGGAAAGTTTTTGAACTTGTCAATCAGTCCTAGCATTAGGGCAGACAACAAAACTGATATATGCATACTTACAAAGTTTTCATTGTTTCTAAGTTTAAACAATTAATTTTCAAATGTAACTGATTACACTCTCTATTGTAGTTTAGCATATTTGGCCCCTGTGACCTTGAAAGTAGGTCAAGGTCATCAATATGTACAAACTTGGTAGCCCTTCATTCCAGCATGCTACAGAACATATATCAGCAGTCTTAGTTTATTGATTACTGAGGAAAGTCACAGAAAAGATTTTGACATATTGGACACCTGTGGCCTTGAAAGTAGGCCAAGGTCAATAATATGACCAAACTTGGTAGCACTTCATCCAAAGAAGCTACTGACTTAATATCAGCATTCTGTGCCTTTGGTTTATTTAGTAGTCATTTAAACATATTTGACTACTGTGACCTTGAAAGTGGATCAAGGTCATTCATTTTAACACATTTGGTAGCCTTCATCCCAGCATGCCACAGGCCCAATATCAGCACTCTGGGTCTTTTGGTTATTAAGAGTAAGTTGAAAATGCCAATTGTTTGTGGCGTATAAATGATGACGTCAGACAAAAGGCGACCACAATAGAAAAGACATGGGAACAAATGCAAACTCTATCATATCTTAAACTTATAATTTCTATCAAATTCTAATTAGCCATCATAATAATATTTCATATCTTGCTATGTAGCAAGTAAATTCAAATTTAACATCAGAAATATGATAAAGAGCTCTATAAATCCTCATACTATCTAAAATAGTCAATGATATATTGAGTGAAGCTTACCAGTTATATCACATTCAGTCTTGGGTTGATGAATGCACTATAAAATAAACTCCATCTTAAGAGGTCTGTGTGTCATATGATAGTACCTGTTCTCATTGAGTGGTATGTCATTTGATACAACATACATTTGTACATGTTTTAACTGAGCCATATGTCAGGTGATATTACCTGTTTTATTTGAGTGATGTATCATGTAGTAACACTTATTTTAGTTGAGAGATGTGACATGTAATATTACCTGTTTTAGTTGAGAGATGTGACATGTAATACTGTCTGTTTTAGTTGAGAGATGTGACATGTAATATTACCTGTTTTAGTTGAGAGATGTGACATGTAATACTGTCTGTTTTAGTTGAGAGATGTGACATGTAATATTGTCTGTTTCAGTTTAGGGATGTGTCATGTGGTATTACCTGTTTTAGTTGAGTGATGTGTCATGTAGTATTACCTGTTTTAGCTGAGCAATATGTCGGGTGATATACTCAAGTGTGACCGGATCCTCCACAATAAGTTTGTGACTCTGGCATTCTGTACGTGCTCTGTTAATCAGAATCCTGGCATCTGCAGTGAGTCCTTTGAAACATAAAGCAATATCTATGATAGCAGATAAAATCATGTACATTCCTTGTCTTTTTAGATACTGGGTACATGGTAGATTCCATCAATGTTTTCCAAATAAGATAATGATAGAATAATGGAAGAACAGTTGATATATTGTATTTGATATACTCACCACTACTTTCATTGATCAGTTACCACTTCTAGTGTATACTGGATTTTATGAGATGTTATACTTGTCTAAGGCAGTTATCATAAACATAGACAATTAATTTGCTGATCATATAAAAATTGATTCTATAAATTATGCAATCTAGAAACTAATACCAGATGTGTAGCTGCCTTTACACAAAAATGCGGTTAACATCAAATGAATCCAATTATTTATCAAACCCTCCCAATTCTTTCCAGCATTTTGGAGGCTTTGTTCAGTGTACACATTCAAATTGCTATCCACCTGACTATATCTGCAGGTTTGAAAACATTTTTTATATATAATTACAATCCAGTGTGTACACTTGTCAAAAAGAATGATACCAGTCCATACATATTCTTCCAATTATACCAATCACCTTAAGCTGACATTTTCATTTAGAATTTGACATTTCCATTGTATTGAATGTTTATATAAGATGGCATACACATGCATACACACTTAGCATCACCAAACGGAGGTGTTATCTAACTGAAAAATTGTGTAAATGCCAATAAATATGGTAGCATTATACCTCATTTGGTTGACAGCTTCTGTCAATTAGACTAACCAAACATTTATATCAGTATATATACAGAATAGAAATTTTGGTTCGCATGTTGCATGCATATGAATATGAAAACAGTCGATAGAATGTTGCAAGCTTAGTTATATTATGGACACAAAAATTTAACAAAGGACAGTAACTCTGAAAATGAGGGGTCAAGGACCCTGAATCTGATACACTGCACATCAATGACCAATGTATACATAAAATTGCATCATCCTTGCTTAACTATGGGCAAAGTCATGCTCCTGACATGGACAGATGAACCGATAGATGGACGTATGGACAAGGTGACAACTATATGCTTCCAACAGAAATTTTTGGGGAGCATACAAAAAGTGTTGTTTTCCATATGGTGCAGTCAGTTCTAAAATTCAGACAAAAAAACAGAAAAGAACAAAAATCTTGCAAAATGTTGAGTTTGCTTTCTGAAAGAATGTGTTCCCAACATAAAAACAAACATCAAAACCGAAATTCTTTCCTTTTTGCAGAACTGACTACTCAAAGTGGTAACCACCCCTCAAATACAGGATTATTACCTATATTGCCTAACTTGTTAAACAGTAGTGTTAAAATTCTCTCCCTTATTATACTCACCTGCAAATGCTAGGGCTACATGGTCGTCAATGAGAGCGATTTTACGCACGGTCCTATCCTCTTGAAGTTTTGCAACCGCTTTCTTTTCTACACCTAAAACAACTATACTTTTGCCCCTCACACCAACCTGTAAAAAATTGTATGTTTATATACGTATGATCAGCAGTTTAGTTATTTCATTTTGCAGCAAAACGTTAACCAATTCAATATTGTGTGACTAGATGTTTCTTATTGACCATTTGTGGGAAAACACCGCGTGGTATCGTTTGTATCATGGTATATGGTCACAAATGAACCTTTTTCGGTCAGATGACAATGCAAATTATGAACCGATGTGCTGCGAGTTGGTCGTTATGGCCATGTTTATGACTCAATTTTCAATTCAAAATAAATTAGAGGGGCAATTTTTGTTGCTGATTCGGTAGTTAGAAACCTACGGCTGTTGATCCTTTCTTCACAGCTTCCTGTGCATATTCAACTTGGAACAAATGGCCGTCGGGCGAGAATACAGTGATAGCTCTGTCGTATCGGGCACTCATGTTGAAAACTTTTATGGTCCGCAGAAACCGGTGTTTCTGTGTCTTATAAACGCTTGATTTAAAAAAACTGTCCATACAAACATATTAGTAACCTAAATATTACTCGCGAAATTAATATTTTTTTATAAAATGTAACTCGATTGTTATATTAATTATATCATATTCAAAATGTTTTATGAATATTATCATTTATAGCAATTTCATCATAAAAATTAAATACTTTTATCAACAATAAATTAAGGGCAGTTATAAAATAAGAATCGGAACTTGATTCAAATTATCCGTATTGTAGTACAACATTCTTGAGATCTCACTGAAATATTGATAAAATAGCATGTATCTATGTGATATACAAGCAAATATTTATTTAAGTATCACATCAATGATTACGGACGTTGTGCTATTCCATTTCATCCGTTGTTAAATATTATTATTTTTTTCCGGATACAAAATATCATCGACTTTTCTTTTAGAAATATATCAGCATTCGCTGCCGGTTCAATTTCTTTGTGTGGCTGACGCGCTCATTTTCTGTTGGATTGTGGAGGTGTTGGACACCCGCAATTGGCATAATGTCTCTGACATTTGTGCAACCGCAACAGAAAAAGGGTCCTGCCCCTAACCAGGCAACTATTCAAAAGGTTTGTATGAGTTATAGTTCGGTTTGTTATAAGACCCGTTCGGATGCAATAAAACGTTCGCTCTCGGCCATTTGCGAAATAACTTATCAGGTCGTAGGAAAAAAAACATAAATTTGCCTATAATACGCAAAGTAGCTTATCATACACCAATTGGGTATAGATTTATTGCTGAAATAGCCAAATTTACTTTAAACATTTTTTTTTATTTCTTTACTATTATTTTTTGCGCATGTCGCGTTTATTTAGTCATGAAACAACCTACTAAAATTGATTTGCACGTGGGAAAGTATAAAAAATAGATGCAGCACTTTCGACCAGTTTGAGTATCATACGCAAATTTGTGGTTTTCTCGACCTGCTTATAGCCAACTGGTACAGATATCTGTTCCGAATCCTGAATTGTACTCTGCAGCTATGCAACATTGATGAATTGTATCCAGATAAATGAAGAAATAAGTATGTTTGTACCATAAGATTAATTCTATCAGTTGTTTACTGTAGCTAAAATGAGGATTACAGATTCTTGATCACTCACGGGGAATGCAACTGCACATTTTTTCTTGGTGGCTTTGAGTGCTATGCTTGAATAAATAGACACTTTTCATTGATTAAGAAATTGTCCTCTGTCTGTGATTACTATGAAGTTGTGCTTTTGTATAGGTGAAATGTTTTTGTCTAACTTGTAGGATGTAATGCAGTTCAGGGCTCTCACACCCCATTTTGGGACTGGGGCCCAGGGCCCTTAGAATTGGGAAAAGTAATGGTGTTTTCCATAGAATTGTGAAAACTTGGGGTCTAAATTGGGGAAAAAAAAGATACTATTTTGCATCGGGAATGGGGCTGAATATCGGCCCCAGATCTGGCAGATCGAGACCCCAGTAGTTTTACTCTGATTTGTTAACTGATAAGTAAGTAGTCTGTCAATCATTGTAAACTCATTCCCTTGTTTTCTGTTAAAGCTAAAATTCAGAACATTTCTAAGTTTAGGTTTCTATATAGTTTGAGCATGTGAAATTAAATGCTGATACAGCATTTTCAACCCACTGTTTTCTAATCCCAGTACCATTCAATTACATTTATCAAAGGAAATTATTTAGGTATTCGGGTTGTAGTGTGAAAAGTCAATGTTTAAAATTGTTTTTCTTTGAGGCATCTTTTCTTAAAGTTCTATGCGTTCTGTCCACAGGATTAAAAAAAAGATATGTATTGCTATATACTGTCATACCAGACTTTGACCAGAAGTCCTTAATTACACCTGTAATACCTTGAAATAAAAGATTGTGAAGAAAATAGCATTGAATGTTTGTTATGAAATATGAGAATGATTAGTACACTCAGGGTTTTCCATAAAAGCCGGTCGTCGGCCAATTTGACCTGCTACTTTGATCATTTGGCTGCCTACACCAATCCAGTTCCGTAATAATGTTCCGTACACGACTACACATACAAGGCAGGCCAGCCTCCTACTTTCACTACACAGCCTACTACTAACAAAATTATGGAAAACCCTGAGTACCCTCCCAGAAAACTTTGTCTGTCCATCATGTCAAGAGCATAACTTTGCCCACAGTTAAGTCAGGTGTCTTGGTGTATAATAAGGGGATGTATAATGTACCAAATTCTGAGCCATCTACTCCTGCATTACAGAATATTTGCACTTTGTTAAAATTGTGTGCATAGAGTAAAACTTTAAATTGCTTGCATTTAAACTAGGATGATGAAACTTGTGGTTAAAATTTCTTGTCTTGGAGCATAACTTTGCCCTCAGTTAAGCAAGAATCATAAACTTGGTGTATGTATTGATCATACGAAGTGTAGGTAAATGTGTTATGTACCAAATTTAGTACCTTTGGCCCCCATCACAGTGTTATTGTCCTTTGTTAAAAATATCTTGTCTGGATAACTTTGTCTACAGTTAAACAAGGATCATCAAACTAAGTGTATGTAGTGATCATACTAAGACAATGTGCTGTGTACCAAATTCAGGGATCTTGACCCTTCAACTACAGAGTTATTGCCCTTTGTTGAGATTTTGTGTCATGAGCATACCTTGCATTAAAACCAGGAGCATGAAATTTGGTGTATACGTTGGTCTTTCTGAAATAATGGGCTATATGCCAAATTCATGACCTGCAGCCCCTTTATTACAGAATTATTGCCCTTTGGTATAATATTGTGTCCAATGAGTATTTTGGGAAGCATTCATCACTTTCACTGATATTCTTGTCAAAACAAATATTTCCTAAAGGACACAACATGTTACATTTTAGCCTTTAAATCATTTACTGAAAACTTATCTTTCAAAAAACTGATCAGAACAAAAGTAAAATTTTAGAAATGGTGGCCACATAATACTCGTACATCCCTTTATTTCAGATGCTTGACGAGAACAATCAGCTAATACAAGCTATTGTTGACTATCAGAATAAAGGGAAATCTACAGAATGTTTACAGTAAGTTAAACGTGTTGAAATGTTATTTCTCTTATATGCGTATATTTCATGTATTATAGTGTTGAAAATTTCAAGTTTTTCTCTGTGATATTTACATTGATAGATACACAATATCCTTATCAATCTTAATTGTATGTAATGACTGAATTGTGGAAATTAAAACACACTGAAATGATTGTGATTTACAGATGATGCTGAAACATTTAACAAAAGAGTTTCATAAGGTCTTGAAATAATTATTTGAAGGTTCATGCAGTTGAGTTATGCATTTGATATATAGTATAGAGATAATATACTGACATTGTACAAAGAAAATCACTGATTTGTCAATTTTACTACCTTTGGCTCTGATGCATGGGTATCACCAAGGTCCCAGCTCAGGGGAGGTTAATACTTGTTCAAGGACCTATTCTTAAAGTTTAACGATTTAACTTTTTCAAAACTAATAATTACAAGTCATTCATTGACTTAGTATGTGTTGAATCATAGTCACTATTAATCACGAGAGTATTTGAGAATGTTACGCGTCTTTGGCAGGGTTCTGTAAATGTACACGATTTAGCAGCTGTCTGATTGCACTAAAATATGATTGCCTTAAATGCAGTCTCTTGATGATATATACATCAAAGTATTTTTATGCAATGATCATCTTCAGTTCAGGATACATAATTAGATTATGCCTGGGACCCTGGTACTGTATGCCCAATACCTGTATGACTATACTTAGTCCCCACTGTGAGGGGAGTTTAATTTTGCATTGTGTCCACTCATCAGACCTATTGTTGTTTTGCTGTCTTCTCTGTAACTTTAAACTTAGTAGTGAGTCAATGCACCTGCATTTGATACTGTTTCATCTTATAACTGCTAAACTATGTGAATTCTTATGGTAAAAAATGTCAATTTTTCATACCAGGTTACATAGTGTTATCTACCTTTGTTCATTATTGACACATAATACAGTTGGATAGAGATGATAGACTATCACTGAAAGTGTTATTTGTAATATTGTGTTTCAGATTTCAGCAGATGTTACACAGGAACCTAGTATACCTTGCCACTCTTGCCGATTCTAGCCAGAACATACAGGCACTTTTACCGGTTAGTTATCCAAGGCACTGGATATATACTTTCCTTAATTGGATATTGTCATTTCTCGTCTACTTAAACTTAATAATATAACAAGTATTGCATATTCAATCGCTATTTAAAACAATATATCAGATATATCAAATAAAAGCATAACCACTTTATTAGATATTTCAGATAGGTAATATGCACAAGTGTCCAGATGTTTGTCGTTTATGTTTTCCTTTGATTTTGAGCGATGTGATAAACCTTATATTGTAATCACCATAACTGGCCTTTAATTGTAAACCCATGTCAATGAACCCATCATAAACATCATGACACATTATCATCTTAATTGGATTCATCAGTTCAGCCTGATATTGGCCATATCCTAACCTTCTGAGTTCAATGCTAGATCCACAACCTTTTAACTCATCCCTTCACCCTTGATTTAGAATGGCAATGACCTGATATTACTTGACTAGGTTGGCAACACTGTCAGCTGGTTGATGCAACTGCACACTTAAGTGCAACTTAAAATCTGTTTAAATACGCTTGATCAAAGGGGGGGGGGGTAAAAGAGTGTTTTGCTGGTTAATCATTTAGGATACTGTATATCTGTTATATGGTGGGCATGTCATTTCAGCCTCCTGGTCAGATAAACCCAGCAATGAATCAACAGCAACAACAGCAGCCTCCTAACTCACAGATGAACCAGATGCGACCCCCAGGTCCCATGCAGAACCAGATGAATTCGGCTGGTATGTATACATACTTAATCAATTTTTCATTCCTCAGGAAGTGCAGTTGTGTAAGATATTTAATTTGGGCCCTGTCCCTCTGTACATGGTCATCTTCCGGACCAGTGCTCTGAAACTGTTCAAGATAATTACTCGAAACTTTCTACAGTTGTAAAGCTATAACTGTATTACTGTGTTTTGCTGTTTGGAAGTTCTCCATTTAAAGACTTTTTCTGTTACCATGGAAACAGATGGGTCTAATCACAAAGTTCAATTTTTATTTGTGAATGATGCCAAAGGATACAACAGTAAAAGATTATTTACATGAAGATAGCAGAAACAGTGCTGGAATGGATTTTAATACCTGTTACTATAATATTAACATCTATATTTGTTTATATATTTGATTATGTGTCTTTTAAATAGCGAGCAGGGGATATTGTCACGCTCTGTGTCATCTTGTTTTAATGGTGTTGCACCTCATATTGGTGTGTAGGATAGAGAAATGTCTTAAATTCTCCGCGAGAAGCTCTGTAGATATGTAAAGTTATATTTGTTTTAGATTCAGTGTATTTGTTTGATTGTTTGAAGGGATAACTTATTTACAGGAGGGCCAGGGAGTGGTAACCAAATGATGACGCCAAGCAGTGGTGGTAACATGACCCCGCCGACAAGTCAGGGCATGTATCCCCCAGGATCAGGTGGGTCAGGCCCACAGCAACAGCCAATGTCAGGGTCTGGAGGCTACCCTCGCCCCCAGATGGGCCAACAACCCATGGTATCCCAGGCTGGTTCTTACAGTGAGTATTATATGTTTGGGATAATCTATCATCATGGCAAAGGTTATATACTTTCCAGGTGTAATTCTAACAAGTGTTTCTATATTGTTTAGATAAGAAAGTAGTGGATGAAAAGTGTCTTTGAATGTAGAAAGATATTTGATAAAAACAATGAAATATTCTCATCATTCTTTCATAATAAACTTTTTTTATTTCATTTGTTCAAATGTAATGTAAAAGATCAACTTAAAATTGTGATTTATTTCATACTCATAACATTTACTAAGTATCATTCAAACAGCTTTTCAAACTAATTAAGTTTCTTTCTCACCTCCTTTAATATGGTGTCAGAGCTGTAACTTTGTTAGCCATTTTCATCCCATTGATATAAAATAGCAACAACTTTTGATATCAACTCGGCTACTTTTTAATTCTCACTTTAATAACACTGGACTTCAGAAATGAAGTGCTTGTGATTTGAGGGAAGGTCAGAGCTTTTTCTTTGCATGTCTGCAGTTTTCTTTATACTTTCTCAAGTTGTTGGCTACTACCATAAGGAGTCTAGTTTTACTAACCAACACTGTAGATGATTATAAAAAATAGTACACTGTAGGTTTATCCATGTATTGGTGAGGCATGGAGTTTTTTAATGCTAATTGAAATATCATGATGTCACCAGTGCTACTTGGAAATTGGACCAGAGAAAGGAAATGTAGGAGATCAGTCCCTCAATTGTCATATACATGTTATTGTACTGCAATAGGTCATTATCAGATGGTGGGCTATTCAAATTGCCCTTCGTCCGTGATCTGTCCGTTCTTCTGTAAACAATTTTAGTTACGGCTATTTCTTGAGAAGTACTTGATGGATCTTTCTCAAATTTGAGATGTAAGTTCTCCTTGGTACATAGTTGTGCCCTTTTGATTTCGGGACTGATCAGTTAAAAAAATGGCTGTCAGGTGGCCATCTTGGATTCTGTAATTAAATATTATAACAGTGGAGAGAAGAGAAGAGAAAAGGAAAAAGATCTAACTTTTAAAGAACAAATAAAGATAAAAACATTGGTGGGTGTCAAGATCCCTCTGGGATCTCTTGTTAAATTTCGGTACATTATTTAGAAATGATTCATTGGTAAATATTGGCTAGAAACCTTTTTTTTCACTGTTGTCAAACCACAATGTCAATTAAATCATATTGACAAAAGTAATACTATAAAAAAAAAAGTTTTTGACCAATATGTGGGAAATTTTAGCATGCAGCGTGTCAGACTGATCAAGAAATGCAGTGACCATTATTAAATGGCAAGTCTTTCAGATAAAATAAAGTACTTTATATTTGTGTAATACACTTGGTAAGAGTTTAGGAAAAAGTGCTTGTAGTCTGTGTTGTATCCTTTGACCCTTGTGTATATAATGTCCCCTTCTGAAATTGTTAATGATCTGGTGATGTGTTTCCTCTAGGACATTCAGACAAGAAAATTGTCCCACTCGACAAGCCACACCGTCACTCGACTCAAAAAGACAACAACAGTGATATCACCAAACATGGCTTGCCCAAAATAGGTGAACTTTTAGCATGCAGCACACTTGGTACATGTCAACTTTTGTGTTGACCAGTGTTTTCTCCAGAGAAAATGGGCAGCTTGGTTTTAAGTTTTATAATAGAGAGCAAGCTTAGGGGAATTAGGTAACCTGATCTTGAATGTGGTAACCCGCCAAGGAGTTAACTGCCTTTAATCAACTTCTACATCATCATTTATAACTTCATTTCAAAGATATGATGCTGCAGAAAACACTGTGTACAGCTGGAAAGTACAGGGTTCGTACAGATCCATGAATATGTTTGCATTGTAAAATGTTCTCAGACTTAACAATATCAGCAAAAGATTTTTTTTAATTAGTATTGAAGGATTTTATTTCCATTTTTGCTATAAATTTTTAGGATTCCATAAAAGCGTTACAGAGTTTCAACTGAAAACTTGCAGATACATATAATGTTTCAGATATAGGGTTAGATAAATCTTGGTTGAGAGCCATCTGCATAAATTATATCTAATGTAGAAATAAGTCATATTTTAAGAGCTTATGAGAATGTTTTAAGCTTTAAGCTATGAATTTTGTGAAGTCTTGTTGAAATATTGAGGAAATTGCTGGGGGAAACATCCTTTACTTTATGCTCCAAGAATGCATGAATTTGCATTCTAAATTTCTGTACGAACCCTGACTTTGATTATTTTAATTACTGTTCTTTAACTTATCTAGGTAATGTTCATATGATGTTCAGTATTTCTTCTATGAATAGCTTTAAATTGTTCTATTTGAATCATTTATTATGAAATATTCTGCATTTTCAGATCACACATGCATAGTGAAAGTTTGTTAGAAAATGCAACTTATCTAGATTATCCATTAAATTTAAGTACTAACATTAGTGGCTGCTGATGGAAATGCTTCAATCTCATTATTCCTAGGAAAAAGTAACAGTTTTAGTGTTGTACATATTCCTTTATAACTGTTTTAATTGTATTGTTGATTTATGTCCTTGATGGATGGTTAGTCTGCAGCATTCCTGGTACACATCCAAGGCTTAAATGTTCACAGGCAAAATATCCTAACTTAATGTTACCTGTGGTTACTGAAAAAAATTACATTTAGAGAAAATGTGAGTGTCCCTTTCCAGTTCTATTAAAAGAGAAGGAATCAATAGACAACATTTAAATTCACAGGGAGAAAATGGTCTCAAGATTTTCATATCAAGGATGAAAATATTCTGTCTTTTTGAGAACTTGAGAATACCAAGGATGGTTGTAAAGGGCTTCAATAAAGAAAAATGTTTCAGATTCTTTACATGTCAGCCAATTTCCTCCTACATCATATGATTGGAGTTTTGGACGTTTTATCTAGATTAGATTGGTTCTATTTTATGGTGGTGTTGTGGAGGTGGCGAGGGAGAAGCAAATTACCATTGTATTGAGAATTCAAAATTGACGTTAGGTTTTGCCTGTGAGCATCTGGTACTTCACACTCAATTCATCAAACCAGGAGTTGCTTTATGGATTGTTTTATTGACAGATCAAATGCCATCTGGTATGTCAAACACTCAAAACTACAACATGCAGCAGCAGGGTGGATACCCCAACCAACAACAGCCAATGATGTCTCAGAATCAGCCTATGATGCCTCAGCAACAGTCCATGATGTCACAACAACAACCGATGATGTCACAACAACAGCCAATGATGTCACAAAATCAGCCAATGATGTCACAACAACAGTCAATGATGTCAGGCCAGTCCTCTGGACAGAGTGGTTCAATGATGAATCCTCGGCAGATGCAAGGAGGCTACAGACGCCCTGGTACAGGTAATCATACTGCTAGTGCTAGAGTGAAATTTATACAGAAGACGTTTTTTATGTCACTTCTGGGATAAATGTTTTTCATATCATTGAAATATGTTGTGGTATGATTATTCACTGTCTGTTTTTCCATGGTTTGTTTATATCTATTGAAATTACATTGACTATTCATTTTCCTTCAATTAATTCATCATTTTCCCATTCTTATCAAATGTTTGACATATAGCAAAAACTGGTATGTTCCCTCTGTTCTGTTTTACAAGACTGATCCCCGTGACATTGATGAGTAAATGAAGGGGATATATACACAACACTGTCCTTGTTATCTGACATTGTTCTTATTTCCTAAAAAAATTTCAATGTAATAAAAATTTGTGTAAAGGGCCATGTGGGCTGTGGGGATGCTGCAGCATCCATCTTCGGTCAACTTTTCCTATAAATTGCTACTAGTCATGAACAACTGAGTAGATTTTAATGAAATTTGGTCTGAAGCATCCTTAAGAGAAGGGGAACCGATTTGTGTAAATGGTGGGTCTGGTCCCCCCGGGTCTGAGGGGTGGGCCCAGTAGGGGAAAATCTATCAGTTGTTGGTTGGTTCCTTAGGAATTGCAGGATATTGTCCAAATTTGCTTTGCAGCATACTTGGGTGAAATGAAATAAGGTGCTTTGTAAATGGTGGGTCTAGGCCCCAGGGGGTCAGAAGGAAATTTTTTTTTTTTGAAAACCATGAATCATGGCTATGTAGGGCCAGAGGGGCTGGACCCAATAGGGAAAATAGAGTACATTCTTTGAAATCCTTCTTGTGTAGAAATAACTGGATGTTGTCTCAATTTGGCCCTATGCATGCTTTTGTGAAGAGGTACCAATTTTGGGAGCATTGGGATCTCAGCCCTGTATAGTGGGAGTGATGGGGCCCAAAAGGGGAAGTAGGCAAATTCTTCAAGATCATTCTTCTTATTTAGGAATGCCTTGATTCTGTCCCAATTTGGTGAGAGACATGCTTGGGAAAAGGTGATCAAATTTGTATGAACAGTGGGTTCTGGCCCATTGGGATCAGAGGGATGGGGCCAAATAATGGACATAGCAAATTCTTTGTTTCTGTATTGAGAACTTAGTTATTTTCAAACAGCTGCATCAAACCCCCTTTTGAAGGAAGGTCAAGTCAGTTACAGGGAAATTGACACAAGTGTCTTAAATACATTTCCCTAAGTTAAAATAAATCAATTTCAGCAAAGTAAACCAGGTGAGCAAGTGATACAGGCCGTATGGACCTCTTGTATTAGATGTGTGTAATGGAGACCTGTAATTTATCTTGTGATAAAAAGGATTACAAACATTGATGAAGATTTGAATAGCCCCTTCATTTAGAAACAGAAATGTTATGGTACAGAACTTTTACCAGTAATGGACTGGATTTCTCTTTTCCAGGCCAGTATGGACAACAGCAGAACTTCTCTGGACAGCAACAGTACCCCAACCAAAACTCCTACAACCAGGGAAGTCAGGGCCAACAGAATATGCCCCAACAAGGTCAAGGTTACAACCAAAACTCCAACATGCCGCAGTCTCAGTATCCAGGTTTTCAGGGACAAAATCCCCAGCAAAGATTTAACCCTTACATGCGTAACCAGGGTAACATGCCTGGAAACCAGATGTCTGGAGGACCAATGGTAAGTCAGGGTCAAAGCTCTGGACCAATGCCTACTCCCATGCAAGGGCAGAATCACATGGGTGGTGGACAAATGCATGGTCAGACCAACATGACAGGTCAGATGCCACAAGGACAAGGACAAACCCCAAATCAAATGCCAAATCAGATTTCTGGACAAAATGCAATGCCAAGTAGTGGACCAATGGGAGGGCAGATGCAGAATCAAGGACCAATGCCATCACAGGGATCAATGGGTAACCAAATGCAAGGCCCAAATCCCATGAGTGGCTCAATGCCATCCCAGGGTCAGATGAGTGCACCCATACAGGGCCCAGGTCCAGCTGGTGGTCAAATGCAAAGTCAAGGTTCATTTGGATACAATTCACCTCAGTACTGAAAAAAAATATTAGACTTTTTTGACAAAAGGTCCTTTAGATCTGAAACGTAAGGTTTTAACAGTGGACTGTCTTTGATTTTACTAGACCAGTCTAAATACAGAAGCAAAGTTTTGATTTTGAAGAGACCTTTTGTGGATGGTAGATATTCTTGGACAAGTTTGATATTGTCTTTTTTTAGTCATATAGCCATGTTTACAAGCATTTATCATTACTTTAGATTGATTGTACATATTTATATTCTATATATAATCCTATTGTATTATGTTAACTGTCAAAAAAATTCTGACAATTGGTTTGGATAGCACTGTTATGCTGACCCTGGTTGGTCTTGTCAGTGTGGTATATATCTATACAATATAGAATAGTGAGAATCTCATTAATGTAATTTTATGTAATGTAACCTGTTACTGAACAATAATTAAGGTATCATTTGGTTTTTGGTTGTCAATATAATCATAGATTGTAAATAATAATGATTATGGTTGTTTAGGACATGTTTACTGGCTTTTCACAGAATTAGCATGCTATAATCTTTTTGTTATAATTTTAACAATACATATAGGTATATCCAAAATTGAAAAGCGCATATTTTCCCTTGTAATCTCTTTGTATATAATTCTTGTTTAGATCTGAACTTTATTGGCGCCATGGTAACAGCACTTTTGATTGGTGAAACAATACTTTTCACAGCTAAAGATTGACAATTGTTTGTATATTACAATGATACAAGTAAGGATATTAAATGATGGACGGGCTGAAGCAGCTGTTGTTTTTCCAGTAATTTCTTTTCATTGTAATTCATCCTGGTCTGATCGTAGCTTTTGAAACAATAATTTCATTATGAAATATTTAAACGTTCTTCAAGCAAAATTTCAACGAAAAACAATTTTTCATTCTGTGTTGTATGGTCTTGAGTTAGGACAATGTTGTGTACATATTGTTGATAACTTGAGGATAATAATGTGATTGTGCAGTCAACCTACAGTCTTGGGTGATCATTCCAAGATGGTTCAGTAATCCCAACTTTTTCTCAAGAAGCTGAGAAACGGATTGGTTTGTACAGTGTTAGTTGTGTCCTTTGGCAAGATAACTTACTCTAGTCACTGTTGATGGCATGCTATGGGCCTCTGTGTGTAAGGTAACTCATCTAATGAAAGGTTGGTAGGCTGCAATAGTGTACATAAAACCCATTACAAACCTAACATATATCACATTCTAGCAATCTCCATGGAAGTATTAAATTTTCAGTGCTGTTCGAACAATAAAGTTTTGTATACCAACAGTTGATTGTTACTTTATCTTTGACTACTTTCTTAAACAGTTACGAGTAAAGAGAATACTTTGCGTATATATTTATCACAAATATACGTTAGAAATACATTCACCAAAAAATACAACTTCATTCATGAAAAAGGCATTGTAAATTTTGAAATCAGTTGTACTAATGTTGATACTGCAACAATACCGTTTTATGCATTATCACATTTCTTTTCATTTCTACAAGACAATCCTTTATCTATCCCCATCCGTATGATCATGTTTTTAAAAGGACAATTGGAAATTCTGGTGATATCTGGAATTGCCAAGTAAACTGAACTGAAGGCCATTTCACTTGTATGTGTTTATATAAGCTGTATTCATATGTAAACTTTGTATAACTCGGTGCGTAGAAAATACCTTTTGTGAAGTACAACTCATTTGGATGTTATACATGTAGTTTGAATTAAATTGTGTTCATACACTCAGCATGTTCAGTTGTTATTAATGCATGATGGTTGATAATTTCTGAAACTATGTTATAAGTACATCATAAATATTTGTAGAACAATACATAGAACAGATCTGATATGTAAATTTTGCCAGAATTATTCAATATATACTATGAAGTTTCATCATAATGGTTTTTCTGTTTTATGAAAAGTGATGGAGCTCTTGCAAAAGTCAGACAATGAACTTTTTCTTGCTTTCAAAGTGGCAAATTTTTTAATTGTATTCCATCCTGGAAAACATGGTGAAAATTTGGAGTCTTTATAGACGATGAAATTACACTGTCTTAAAATGATACTTTCAGTGAGCCACAAAATGAAGTTTAACTATATCTGGTGGTCAATAAAAAAAAAACCCAGTGCACTGCTTTGAAGTTTATTAATTTTATCTCGAAACTGAAAGTTGAGAGGGATAATGGGATGTTTGTCGAAGATGCTATAGAATTGTTACCATGTTGTATGCAACACCAAAATTTATCAGCAGCTTTGCATGTGTATATGTAATGTCCAACATCCCTTTACATGTTTAAAGATAGTTCAATCAAGATCACCATTGCTATTTTGAGAAAATCCTTGTCTTGTGGCCGCATTCCTCAAGGGAGTTTCATCACACTTTACTTTAAACAAGAGGACCATTATGTTCCAGATGAGTTTGAGAATTATAAGGTCAAAGTCTAACTAAAGGCAATTTTAGAAAATGTCGGCACTTCATTCCTTAAGGATTCAGATCAAACTTTTCACCATGTTTTATTGCCTTGTTTATTCAGAAAAATTGTGTGGCCATATGAATATAAGGAATAACTCACAGCAAACTAATTCTCTTTATCTAAATGTGGATGTCCAAATGGTCAATCATATGGTTTGTTCAACATAAATAAATAACACAAAATATATTATCAATGGTGATATTTAATCAGATATGAATATGAGGATGGAATAATCAAATAAAATACAAAATGCACACAGGTAGTGAAAAACAAAAAATGTTTGATCTTGTGCAGAATGATTTTATTTGGACATATGCCATACTTCGCCATACCTAAAACAAACAGATTTACTCTCGGTCCAGTACACTTAAAACACATGGCTCTAAGTCTACTGGAAAGTCAGTAATACAGTGCTACCGGTATATGGAGAGCAACAAAAGCTAGGTTGAGTTATATTTCATAAAATAAACATTTTAAATGTAACAATAGCACAAATCTTGCTAAAATCAATCTAACATTCCATCAGCACAAATATGATTGCAATATCTGTCAGGGCACATACATGTATTCTGATTAACTTCTGCAGGTAGGGGTTTTATTTACTGTCGGGTAAAACTGTGCGATCAACATAACCTAAATGTTTCTTATCAACAGACACATTATATAGACAACTAAAATTTAACACCACATGATTTTGATTGTTCAACTGTATGGAAATAGTGCAAAGAATTCTGCAAATACATGGAGATACACAAATTTAATATTGACCTATCAGGTTTTTATTCATTTCTTTAAAAAACATCAGACTTGTCCAAATACAGATGATGTAACAGTATGGTTATTGAAGTATATTAAGGGAATAACTACAGGAAATGATTAAATATTTGTGTAAGTAAAACCTTACCAAATAAAACCAATCTATTGTTGCGTGGCATTGATTAGCCAGGTCATAACAGAAGCCATGTTGTAGACATTATGAATATGAATGCAAAATGATATTAAACAAATCCTCCAAGTATTCTCATCATTGCCACCCAGGTACTTTGAGAATGTAACAGGAAATGAAATTGTTTTTAAATGAAAATCAAGCAAAATATAATATAGTGTTACCTATATCACACTTGAAATATATCTGTTTATCAGTGGTAAACCATTAAAACATCCTCTTTATCAGTGCTGATTAGTTCCTTGGGTGTTCAGGACAAACATTAGATATCATGCATCATATAAGAGTGGGACTGTAGTTACAGGTGTGGAGAAATAATGTTCAAGATATAGAAACAAAAGGCCTTGTGAACTAAAAATATAAAATACTGGGAAGGAACCAGAACATACCAAAAATAACTCTGACATCATACAAGACTACAATAACATGTGGCTACATCATTTCACTACAAACACCTAAAAGCATCATATATAGGTATATGTAAACAAAATCAATTTTAAACATTTTCATTTTACAATGTACTTCGGATTCTTTCACAACTATTGATATTCAGTTGGATTAAAGTTTCTTTCAAGTAAAATGTCTCAGTCATTATCAACACCTTAATACTAAATTCTGTTCTTGCATGGTGAATATCATATTTAAATTTTAAAAGTATCACTTCATACATGTAGTACCTGATATTGTCTTGCTTTTTTTCCTCAAAACACATGACAGACTAACCATCTGGTGGAAAGTTAGTGAATTAAACCAGTTTCGTATCGCCTAAACCATCAAGGCATGCCAGTGAAAAAATACAAGGTAGTTTTCAATCTCTACTTCATTCAGAAGCTGTCAAATATGTTGACGTGATGATTTTTAACTGCCTGAAAGGTTGCTCACATCCATGACATTTCACAAAATAAGATATAGCTTGTATCAAATGTACATTTAGGCATTGTTAAACAGTGCAAGCCGAAAAATATCGTTTAGTATCATGAACCTTCCATTCATACCCATCACAAAGAAAGTCTGCGTAAATCCAAGGGCATGTTCTTGGTCTTCAGTCTGTAACAGATACAATAGATAACATTTCACAAATGTCACAACACTGATACATCAAGTTAGAATCATGTAATGAAATATCTAATATTATAAGTCTTGTTAACAGCCCAAATACATTAACTCAAAGGAACCAGGTTGGTAAGTATACATATAACATCAGTGCTTATATCACAACCTGTAAGATGGTAATGTGTGACATTTGATGATGATGGTTATCTTAATCAGACGAATCGCCAGTGCAAGGCATATTTACACTAAGGTATACAGAGTTTGAGATGACAATGAATCAGTATATGATACCACTGCAATTAAATTGAGTTTTCAAATTTTGAAAATTTCCACACTATCAACGCAGATATCATAAAAATTCTAAGGTAACTCAAGCATAAATGAAGGGACATAACTCTTATGTACGCATACACACAATCAATACCACACAGGCAAAATACAGCAACTGACATAAAGTAATGATAGGTTGTATGGAAACTTTTAAAAGATGCTACAAGTGAGGTAGAAAAACAGGAAAGCCTAGCCCCAAAACAGTGTACCAGTGAAAACTTTACCAGTAAGGCAAGGAAACTTTAATCAATCACATCAGGCATGGAAATTTTTTATCCTACAGATGAGGCAAGGAAACTAAGGCCCTACCAGTAGAATTGAGACTGGGAAACAAAGGCTCAACCAGTAAAGGAGAGAAACCTGTACCTTATTGTGAGCAAGGAAAACTTAGGCCCTTCCAGTAGAGCAAAGAAACTATGGCTCTACCATTAGGACAGGGAAACATCAGGCTCTATCAATAAAGCAGGGAAACTCGGACCTGACCAATTAGCCAGGAAAACTTCGGCCCCTCAACTGAGAAAGGGAAACTCCAGCCCCATCAGTGACAGCAGGTCCTTCAAGGGAGGCGAAGAAGCTTGGCACCTACCAGTTAACCAAGGGCAATTTAAGGGACCCTATCAGTAAGGCAGGGAAACATGGGCCAAACCAATCAAACTGTAACCACAGTATATTAAAGGTTCTAGGAAAGAGAAAGTGTTCAATTTGTCTGCCACCAAAACTACCAAATGATCATCTCTATTGAAATTCTTATCTAGTGTTGTCTAGTAACATCTTCCAGGATTTAACATGTCTCATTCTTTGAAAGTTTAATCCCTTTGAAATTCAGCTCTAGCTATTCTAATGAAAAAGAATGCAAAAAATCGTAAGCAAATGACAGACTTGAAAGTTGATAAGTGGGACTTCAGTTGTTAACTTCCTCACATTACCTTAAATTGTCCAAGCACTACAATGAACACAGCATTTTCACTCACAGCTTGTACATCAACTGAGGAAATGTCGTGCACCATAGTCATAATACTGTGTAAAGTCTGTAAATGAAGAGAAATGATACAAAATGAATCATGGTGTAAGTATATATATCATACTAGGTAGAAAAATTATTTTATTATGACGAAATAATTTTTACAAAAACTGCAAGGTCCTAAATGTTCAACAAAATTCTAATCTGGTCTTCTTTTCCTGTCATAATGCATAATCATGGTGTAAACTTTATGTAATATTGTGAAAGGAGGGGATGGATATACATGTAACTCATAAAACTTTACCAGTTCAACACCTTCCAATGAATATAAAACCATTACAAGTTAAATACAAGAAACTTTTTTGATTAGGAAGAAGAAAAGATTTTAAAAAACATTGAAGACTCGTTTACTTTTGCTGTAATCTTATCTTAGCACTTAGTCTGATGCTACACCAATCAAGCTAAAGAAATGTTCTCTCTAGCCGAGCAGTGTATTACCACTAGCATTAACCAGGGTTACATACTCCCCCAACAGGAAATAACTCCAGTTTCCAGGGGTTACAGCTAAGTGGTTGCCAATGTAACAGAGGTCATTATTTAATTCAATGTCTCTGCCAGGATTCAACTCTGGAATCCCTGGCTTACTAGTCTGTGGCTCAACCGATCAAGCTAAAGAAAAGTTCTCTCTAGCTGAGCGGTATATTGTGGCAAAAATTTACCAGGGTTACAGATGCTTCTTGCAAAAATGAATTGAAATTGGTGCAGTTTTTTTCTTCTCTAATTACACTGCTTAATTTATTTTTTGTGAAAGCATATTTTTGTTAGAGGATGACGGAAACTTTGCTCATTTGCTTCAGGGCTTTCGTATTACATGATAGCATTATAAAATGAATTCAGACTATATCAGTGAGCTCCAACACTATGCAACACAAAGAAATTTTTCACAGTAATAAACTTACAGCAAATTTTGCTTCAACTGCAGCCTTCCCTACAAACTTGTCACCTTCATATGTCATCTGGCAGTTGTCCTAAAACAAAAAAAACAGTATGGATATCTCGTGTGTAAAAAATCTAAACAAATCAATTATCTTTTTAAAGAAATTCAAGTAATATCATAAGAAATGCAAGGCACATTTGTGCCATGTTTCCTAATGATAATCTGTAAACAACTATTCTTCAGGACTTTGCAGACAATACTTACCCAGGTACATAAGTTTCTTTAACAGGGATAAATGACCTACATTTGCAAAGCATGAACTTAATGCACATTGTATACTCTAGCTCAATCAGTATCTACAAGCAAACATAATTAGTATGAATTTACTGTTTCTTAGCATTTTCCTTAACCTGCATTGGTGTCCATGTGGGCATGCATATAGGCATATAGCCAAGAAAATAGTTTATACATGTACAGAATATTCAGTTAAATTGATTTTGTTCAAATGGAGAATCCTTTGGAAAGGGAAATCCATTTTGCCTAAATGGAGAATCTGGACCCACTGGGGGCAGAACAAATGGGCTTAGTGGATAAAACACAAGTAAGTCTTTCCAATCTTTCTTTTTTTGTTCTGAAAAAAGGAATGTTGGCCAATTTTTTTCCCCAGAGCATCATTTGGAATATTTGATAATGTTTATTTCAAATCCAGAGTTTTGGGCTAGGCTAATATTGGTACAGAATATTTCCTCTAGAATAACGTTTTCTATATATCAAAGAAATAATTTGGGTTCTTAACAAAAGGAATTACATGATTTGGATATATGTTTCTTGTATTTGTGACATAATATATATTTAAACACAAATGTAGTATTGTTGATAAATTAGGACTGATTAACATTACAACAGCCAGTATGATTCACTATCCCAAATTAAGTTCAAGCATTGTTATCTGGTTAACAAAAAGATTGTTTAGAAAACATGATGAATACATTACAAAATATAAGCAATATCTATGTAATTTTTATGACTAATATATCATGTGCTGCCTGCGTTAAATCCATCTTTTAATAATTGTAAACAATTTGGATAAAAAACTTTAGTTTGCTTCGACAGGCTTTGAACAAATTACTGATCATTGTAACATCAGGTGACTTTCATTAGCAAGAGGCCTATGGGGCCTGCATTGCTCATATGGCTAATTCAGTTATTCAGTCAGTCCTTCCAGCCAGGTGATTTAAAAACTCTTTATCCCATATAGGGCCCTGCCCCTCCCTCCCTCAAGAGCCATGCCCCAACATTTATAAAATTAAAGTACTGAGATTACTGAAAGACTAAACACATTGATAATATTATTGCATTTCTTGTGTATTTGTAACTTTAAATGCAAGCCATAAGCAATTACATAAAAAAAAAAAAACAAGCCATAATCAATTACATAAAAAAAAATCAAACACTTTTATAGAAGATCACTATCATTAACCAAATTTGAAATTTTGAATACATTTTCAATCAAATCAGTGAATTTTGTGCAAAATGTACAATTCAAAGAAATATGTTAAAGTTTGAAATCAAAAGACTGCCACTTGCATTGGTTTTGGATATTGAGTTCAAACCAAATTTACTGCATATAATAAATGGTTTATTTTGCTACCGTAAAAACCAGCCATAAAGTACACAGTTTTCATAATAAATTAAAGGTCCACCAAAGTAGGGAGTGCAGGTGTAGCTATAGGACTTTTCAGGGTTTTTTATGATGGAAAGATCAAAGATTTTGTGAGGCTGCCATAAATGATTGTTTGGATTATCTGTGACGCAAAAAAAAATTTATGAGCGACAAAATTTTTTTAAAAATTTTCACTATCCCAGTCAACATCATCCAAAATTAGGGCTAAACGTTTAAAAGCATGATAGCAACTTGTAAGACAGTGGCCTGCTAGAACATCAAAAAATATTTCGATGATACATGACAACCGTTGAAACACTTACATTTTTGACTGTTAAGAAATGACAAGATGGATTTTTATTCTTTCATGTTTATATAATGACAGAGAAGCCATGTGCACTTGTCTCCTGGTGTCTTCGCAGAAATTAGCGTTTACATATTAGTATGCAGAGCCTGCATAGGGTCTTATGACTACCGATTTATTATTTATCAAAATCAACCTCATTGGTGTTTATGAAGCATACCTTTCACATGATCATCTTATCAAGTTTTAGTGAAATATTGTTAATTTTTGACAAAGTACACTTGCCTACATTAGATGCTCTGCGATACAGAGTTGGGGCCTCAGTTTGTGTCAGCTGGTGTGCACATAATATGACAACGGGATATGAAAGAAAACTTCACTCATGGAGATCCTAATTGCCTTGTCTGTAATAATATCAACCAGAGAAAATCAGGTGTTATATATACAGTCATAAAAGATTATGGAATGAATTCTTACATGTAATTGATTTTATTCCTTATTATATGAACACATAAGTGTGATACACCGTTGGCGATCAACGAAAATTTAATCTCTCCACAACTCAATCATTTTTACAATTACCAATGTGAAACTCAGTACAAAGATGTATCATAATCATATTAGCAATACATTTTTTGATGTCGCGAACTTCTTAAAGTATTTTAGCCAATAGTGTCTGAAGACACATCACCAGCATAACACTGTTTTGAGAGATAGAGTCAATCTCTCTGCAAAAGACTGCCGCTAGGGGTTGCTGGTAAATTGTTGGAAGTATTTCCACCAATTAGAAAGCCAGAATTCACAGCAACAGCTAGTTCTAAAGGCTGGTACAATAGGCTGAAACTGTAACTGTGTTGCATTTAACCATAAGATAAAACCAACTGTGCCTCTATACTTTCTGTTTCATTTCTTATTCATCTTTTGTACTACCCGAAGCTACCAAACTGTTAACACAGTAGGGCGAAAGTGACTTTTTATGGATTCTTATATTAATGTTGCGTTTTCATACAAATTTTCTTTTCATAGATGGACTAATACACCATCAGCATGTAAATTTATCTTTAGTTTTTAGCATCTTAAGTTGTTTTAGACAATTTCAAGCACACTTTGAGTTCAACTTTTAATCCTTTCGGTGCCAATTATCTCTTACAATGTACAGCTCAGCGCCAAATATTTTCCGGAAAATATCCGAAAACAGTGGCAGCATTATTGAAACAAGCATATAAAAATTGTCAACCAATGTTGCCTACGACGACCTGTCTGCATGTCGACTTAAGTCGCTTCCAAAATAAGTGGACGCAGATCCACCAATGCAATCATGACAAAAAGAAGACTAAGACTTCTTTTACACATAGGACTTGGTTTGGTTAGCCATATGCCTGGTTACAAATTCCTGTGCCATATGAATTTGAATGGGTACAAAGTAACCAATTTCCTTTTTCAAATGAGTAGACAAGCAATAGCTCCATGATAGGGCTCCACAACACATTTTAGCAAGAGTCAGATGCGTTTGGCTACTTGTGTCTGTACATCCAGGGTGGTAGGTCAGTAATGCTAAATGGTAATCACTGTCGTTTTATGTGGGATGAAAATCCTTTCAACAAATAAGTGTACATTGTATTAAGGCATAAAGTGTTTGAAAAAACTAATGACACCACTGACGGTTATTTTTATGTTCTTAACTTTGTTCGCAAACAAACAAAATGTTATAAATGTGCTGTTTGCTGAGTTTTTAATTAGCAAAGTTACAGAATTAGTCATGGAAAACAGGCGAGCGCATTCTAAATCCCTATGCATGTCATTGCTGTGCCTGTCGATTTGATTAAAATTTCGCTGTACTGAATGGTACAAACATATAACAGTTATGTGTTAACTTGTCTACCTAGAAAACGTACTCTAAACTTTTGCCTCCAAATGTAGACTATGCCATTTTGTCTGGTTATTTCTAAAGACACTTTATGACTTACACGTACACCATTGTGATGTAGTTGAGAGAATTTTATCCTCTGACCTGAGAGGACACGTTCGCAATCAAGCACATCATCTCAAATCCAATGATGTTCTATAAACCCGTGGGAAATCACGTTGAAAAGTGAAACCATGCGTCTTTACGCCATGGTCCCACAACATCCTACGGCATGACAAGATGTCGCCTTACGTTATAAAGTTGAGCAATCGCTGATCTACTTGCTGCAGGTCCATCCAAAAAGCCATAATATGCTTCAAGAAATTGTTGGGCGAATCCTCTCAACTGTTCTGGGGTATACACGGTAAAGTTGACCGCCATTTCGTCAGTGAATGAAATACATATAGTGTAGTAATCTAAAGCGCGTACCAATCTCGCCTAGTTCGATAACCGAACCCATATCGAGAAGTGTTTTAGATGCTTACATATTTTGTTATTTAGTTTATCTTTATGTAATGTATTATTCTTAGCAACATTGCTTTATTCTTTGGCTGTATATGAAAGTTTAATACTAAAACAAAATCTCCAACGATTCACAACATATTATCAATACAGCTATGGTTTATTTGAATTGCTCGGGTTAAGTAATTTATTTCTTGGTCCGGAAATAGTATTTTAGCGGCAGATTTGAAAATATGAATTCGCTTCCTTGTTATGCAATCAAAACAATAAACATAACTTGAAAGGGTTTTGGCATTTACCCTTACATCGCTTGTAATTATGATTTCTATAACTTAACTTGTATTAAATGTGTTGAGTGTATTCAAGCTGTTTTTTTATAACTACAAACGTGCAAGGAAATAGACTTGAGTATCGGATATATATATATATATTTAAGTTACACAGTACTGTACAGTACAGTATTCAAGTCAATGTGTGATAATCCACTTTGAAGTCAGATTTAGATACGTGTAATTGAATGACATCACATACAAATTGCATATCATAACATATATCAACGGAACGGAGACCGTATGAATCTAAGTTAAAACGGCCTCACTGCATCTTTTTGGATGTGTTGTTACAATTTTAAATATATCAGGTAATAATTACAGAGTGCTATCTTTTTTTTATCTGCTTCTTCTAAATTCTTCTGTGACTTCATATCAAAGAACCTATTATATGTGATATTGTTACGTAAGACGAAAATAAAACTAACTTGTTAAACAATTTTGCTGTGTAACGAGATAATAATATATAATGACAGAAATCTTCCTATGTCTGTTGTTAACTTTAAAACTGATAAGTGTTTAAATTCCATAAAATAGATTGTCCAACAGTAATATTCTGATACGTTTGGCGCCCTCAAAATCGGCCAGGCCTCAGGTTGGGATGGAATCATGCACCATATGTTGAAAACTACAACAGAAACGGTCTGAATTCTGCTTGGATTTACCTTGATAAATTATATTATGTCAATGTTTTAAACATGTGTCAGACATTCTCTAACTAATTACAGACCGATTTCACTTTTATCTACCGTAAAATCTTTGGTTTATGATTAAATGTATAACTATTTTATTGTAAATCCATTGTTATATAATCAGTAAGGTTTAATGCACGCTCATTCTACTGTTGCATTAGAAGAGAGAGAGAGAGAGAGAGAGAGAGAGAGAGAGAGAGAGAGAGAGAGAGAGAGAGAGAGAGAGAGAGAGAGAGAGAGAGAGAGAGAGAGAGAGAAACACTACAATACAAAATATTATGTTATTAAATGTAGAAGTCAATTTAGAAACCCTTTTGTTCGGAAATCCACATCATACCATAGAGCTTAATACAGAAAAAAATAAACCTCCAAACCTGGAGGGCTATTTGTGTCTTAATTCGAGAGTGATATGTTTATCTTTCTCCCTTAAAAATAACGATGTAAAACATTTCCTTTGAGAACAATCTATTGCACAGCTTGAAATCATTTTCATGATTCACGTCGTTGCAGGCAGTCAGGTGTGGTATGTTTGTCCACGTGACTGTCATTAATTACGACCATAAATACCAAAACCAGTCGATGTTAAATGTTATGCCGCTAATAAAGTAATCATTATCGACGGTGTAATTCGCCAAATGGATCTGGAAGCCGTCGCCGTTTCCATGGCCACAAAAATGACGTATAATATTCACGCACTAGATATAATTCATCGTGCCGCTTTCTACATTGTTTACATCGTGGTGTTGTCATGTAAATATTATTTATTGTTTGTTGGTAAGGAATAAGTACAAGTCAACCGTTGCATTTTTGTTACTCGTTTGTTAATTTATGATGGAATACTTAGTCATACAAAAATGTATTTGTGAATTGACTGATTGTCATAAATGACATTGGATCGAAAGCCATAATTACGTGGCTTCTTTTTTATCTCTAACATAATACACTGTGTATAAAACATCAGGTGAGAGTACTATGTCACGATGCCGAGAGAAACCGTGGAAAATGCGTCAAGAGAACCACGCCGCCTAAAAAAAAAACAACACCATGGCATATGCGGAAACAAAAGAGCCGTTTTGTGAGACAAAGCGGAACATGAGACAAGAGACTGACGCCGTGTCGTAAGAGACATTGTGGAACATCATTACATGTGAGAAGTGACCCACACTATGATCTTAAGTGACACTGTAGAACGTGTGACAAAAGAACCACGATATGATGTCACGAGACAAGGTGGAACATGTAGCAAGACAGCCACACCACGATGTCAAAATTAAGACACGTTGGAACAGGAGGCAAGATGTCCATGCAAGCAATCGGCACCATATATGCATAAACAAAAGACTTGCACCATGATGTCAAGAGACACTGTGGAACATGTAGCAAGATAACCATGCCATGATGTCTAGAGACCCTTAAAACATGAAGCAAGATAGCCATGCCATGATGTCTAAAGACCTTTAAAACACGTAACAAGATTACCATGCCATGATGTCTAGAGACCCTTAAAACATGAAGCAAGATAACCATGCCATGATGTCTAAAGACCCTTAAAACACGTAACAAGATTACCATGCCATGATGTCTAGAGACCCTTAAAACACGTAACAAGATTACCATGCCATGATGTCTAGAGACCCTTAAAACATGAAGCAAGATAACCATGCCATGATGTTGAGAGATCCTTAGAACATATACAAGATAACCATGACATGATGTCTAGAATCCCTTAAAACACGTAACAAGATTACCATGCCATGATGTCTAGAGACCCTTAAAACATGAAGCAAGATCACCATGCCATGATGTCTAGAGATCCTTAAAACACGTAACAAGATTACCATGCCATGATGTCTAGAGACCCTTAAAACACGTAACAAGATTACCATGCCATGATGTCTAGAGACCCTTAAAACACGTAACAAGATAACCATGACATGATGTCTAGAGACCCTTAAAACACGTAACAAGATTACCATGCCATGATGTCTAGAGACCCTTAAAACATGAAGCAAGATAACTATGACATGATGTCTAGAGACCCTTAAAACACGTAACAAGATAACCATGACATGATGTCTAGAGACCCTTAAAACACGTAACAAGATTACCATGCCATGATGTCTAGAGACCCTTAAAACATGAAGCAAGATAACCATGCCATGATGTCTAAAGACCCTTAAAACACGTAACAAGATAACCATGACATGATGTCTAGAGACCCTTAAAACACGTAACAAGATTACCATGCCATGATGTCTAGAGACCCTTAAAACACGTAACAAGATAACCATGACATGATGTCTAGAGACCCTTAAAACACGTAACAAGATTACCATGCCATGATGTCTAGAGACCCTTAAAACATGAAGCAAGATAACTATGACATGATGTCTAGAGACCCTTAAAACACGTAACAAGATAACCATGACATGATGTCTAGAGACCCTTAAAACACGTAACAAGATTACCATGCCATGATGTCTAGAGACCCTTAAAACATGAAGCAAGATAACCATGCCATGATGTCTAAAGACCCTTAAAACACGTAACAAGATTACCATGCCATGATGTCTAGAGACCCTTAAAACATGAAGCAAGATAACTATGACATGATGTCTAGAGACCCTTAAAACACGTAACAAGATAACCATGACATGATGTCTAGAGACCCTTAAAACACGTAACAAGATTACCATGCCATGATGTCTAGAGACCCTTAAAACATGAAGCAAGATAACCATGCCATGATGTTGAGAGATCCTTAGAACATATACAAGATAACCATGACATGATGTCTAAAGACCCTTAAAACACGTAACAAGATTACCATGCCATGATGTCTAGAGACCCTTAAAACATGAAGCAAGATTACCATGCCATGATGTCTAGAATCCCTTAAAACATGAAGCAAGATTACCATGCCATGATGTCTAGAATCCCTTAAAACATGAAGCAAGATAACCATGCCATGATGTTGAGAGATCCTTAGAACATTACAAGATAACCGTGCCATGATGTCTAGAATCCCTTAAAACATGAAGCAAGATAACCATGCCATGATGTTGAGAGATCCTTAGAACATTACAAGATAACCGTGCCATGATGTCTAGAATCCCTTAAAACATGAAGCAAGATAACCATGCCATGATGTCTAGAGATCCTTAAAACACGTAACAAGATTACCATGCCATGATGTCTAGAGATCCTTAAATCACGTAACAAGATTACCATGCCATGATGTCTAGAATCCCTTAAAACATGAAGCAAGATAATCATGCCATGATGTCTAGAATCCCTTAAAACATGAAGCAAGATAACCATGCCATGATGTTGAGAGATCCTTAGAACATTACAAGATAACCGTGCCATGATGTCTAGAATCCCTTAAAACACGTAACAAGATTACCATGCCATGATGTCTAAAGACCCTTAAAACATGAAGCAAGATAACCATGCCATGATGTCTAGAGATCCTTAAAACACGTAACAAGATAACCATGACATGATGTCTAGAGACCCTTAAAACACGTAACAAGATTACCATGCCATGATGTCTAGAGACCCTTAAAACACGTAACAAGATTACCATGCTATGATGTCTAGAGACCCTTAAAACACGTAACAAGATTACCATGCCATGATGTCTAGAGACCCTTAAAACACGTAACAAGATTACCATGCCATGATGTCTAGAGACCCTTAAAACATGAAGCAAGATAACCATGCCATGATGTCTAAAGACCCTTAAAACACGTAACAAGATTACCATGCCATGATGTCTAGAGACCCTTAAAACATGAAGCAAGATAACTATGACATGATGTCTAGAGACCCTTAAAACACGTAACAAGATAACCATGACATGATGTCTAGAGACCCTTAAAACACGTAACAAGATTACCATGCCATGATGTCTAGAGACCCTTA